CTACAACTTGAAAAATGGATAGTATAGCTATGTATGTGTTATAAATATTTTGCACTAAAAAATAGCGAATGTGGGTTTCAAGTTAATAGACACGTATGTCCTAAAAATACCAAAAACAAAAAAACCAAAGGTTATGTGATAATAATTCATTTCAAGAACCCCATCCATAAAAAAATCTTTTTTAACTTTAAGCAATCAACAACGAAAAGAACTGGTTTAAAAACTTTTCGGGAAAAACCTTTAAGCCTATCCAATCCTGCCTCATTTATTCCCCACAATTATTACACAAAAAAAATGAAAATATTGTTTTCTGTTTTCTCATTTTACTTTTCCCTAGAACTCTAACCACTGTGCAACGCCGACGCTGAACTTGGCAGTTGAAAATCCCAAATAAGAAAGAAGTCGGCTTAAATAAAAAACTAGCTCGAACGAAAACAAAAGTAAAAGTGGTTGTTGTTGCCGCTGCTCTCATTGTTGTCTTAGACTTGAAGTTCACTTTTGTTTCTAGGCATTTTCCTTTGTTTTTCAACTGCGTGTTGAGCGAGTTTTCTTTGCTCTTTATTTTCTTTTTTTCGGGAGGGGCTCGGGGGTTAGTCATAAAAAGTCGAGCACCTGTCCCCCACCACCTGTTTTTTTTTTCTATATTTTTTTTTTCGGTTCATGCGGTAATTAAGATCGTTCGCTGGCCTAAGTGACGCCAATTAAGTTACGTTGGTCAGCCGGAGAAGAAGAGAAATAAAGAGGTCGTCTTTGACTTTTAGCTGCGTCCCTTTATTTATTTATTATTTTACGTGCAGTTTCCCACTGGTCGCTTTTCTCGTTTCGTTATGCAAGTTCTGCAAATGGTGCTCGGGGAAATCTAGACGTACCACCGCTGTGGGAAAGAAAAGCCCATCTTCTACTGCCGCCGAAAACTGGCGGCTTGCAATTATGAAAGTCGGAGGCTGGGACCGTGTCACATAAATAATCTGACACTCTTCGTGGGCTGTTAAAATTGAAGTGAAATTGCAACTGATTATTTCAAACTATAGTCATTTTGGTTTTGCCTACAGATTTTTCCCTGCCCCACAAAGCAGAGAGATAAAATTTTAATTATAATTAAGTGTGGCCACAAAAGCGATGGTCGAGACAGATATTATATTATTTTGTTCGGCTCGTTAATTGCCAGCCATTGCCTTAATTGGCCCACTGTGCCGCGCATGTAACACACGGCGTATGCGTAATCTGCTAATCATATATATCGCACACATATATTTCTCATAAATCGCATAACTGCTCTCGTTTTGTCGATCTATTATATAACTAAGCGGGCGGCCTGAGATCGGAAAACCGTCTTTGGGAAATGTACATTTCTGATTAATTTTCGATTTGCATAAAAAGGTTTCAATTTCTTCTTTGTCTTTTTGTCTATCCAAACGGAAGCCCAGAAATGTACTTTCGCACATTTAAACGGAAGCAAGTGAGTTGGCAATATGCTAAGCTGATTGGGCGGAAAAAGAAAGCCAAATGGTTGAAATTATATCCCAAATTTACCATATATTTTAATATTTAAATTAATAAAAAACAAGAGAGAACGCTATAGTCGGGTGCCCCGACTATCAGATACCCGTTACTCAGCTAAAGGGAGTGCGAGGGAGATGGAGATAGAAACTTTGATCACGCATAACTTTTTAACGAATGGTCCGATTTGAAAAATTTCTTCTACATTTCGATAGGTATTAATAAACACAATAAAACTGCATTTTTACTTTTCCGAAATATTTAAAATTTTAAAATCGTATATAAGCGATTGTGGGCGTTAAAGGGGGCGTGGCACCATTTTGAAACAAACTTGCGCTGCGTAGGAACTTCTAAAATCTACATGCAAAATGCCAATCTTCTAGCTTTTATAGTTTCCGAGATCTCAGCGTTCATACGGACAGACAGACAGACAGACAGACGGACAGACAGACGGACAGACGGACAGACGGACAGACGGACAGACGGACATGGCTAAATCGACTCGGCTAGTGATCCTGATCAGGAATATATATACTTTATAGGGTCGGAAACGCTTCCTTCTAGCTGTTACATACTTTTGCACGAATACAATATACCCTTTTACTCTACGAGTAACGGGTATAATAAGTGTGCCAAATTCAGAAATTAAAATAAAATCGGATATAAATCGAAACTAAGAGCTGTTAGCTTATGTATTTTACCTAATTTTAACAAAATTAACTGGAAACATAAATTTATATTTTGTGTGCTTACCAAATGACTTTAGTGTTGAAATCTACAATCTTAAATTTGCGTCGAAGCTATGCGATGACTGAATGTGTATAATTAGATTTTAATATTACATTTGATATTTTAATATTACATTTTTTCATAGAATCTAAATTTTAGATAAATTAAAATGTCTGAATAATACCATATAGCATTATTTTGTGTTTTATTTTTAAGACTGAATTTTGATATTTACTGTTTTTAACAACATTTTTAAAATAATATTAAGGAGAACGAGAAATTCGAAGCTGTTACAAATCAGAGAAACTAGAAAATGGGTCTTCACTAATTTCGGCTTTCAGTTTCCGAATTAAAAGTCAAAACTGCAGTCAACATCTTCCGTGTTGCACTGTGTAAATAATTGAAATGTAATATACAACACTTAACACGACAGCCGATAAATTAGAGGGCTGGATAGTGCAAATTGAAGCGTTTTTCGATCGCGTTTTATTGGGCTTCCTCCGGGTCTGAAATGCACTTGCCGTGAATTCGGCAATTATGTGAATTAGTGCCTCCTCTTTCACGCCCCGATGGCTAGTTTTATTTTTATTTTCTACTTAAAGCGTTGACAGTTGGCTTCGGTGAATTGAGGTGCCATTATCACCATCATCATCATCGTCATAGGAGGCGATTATGCAATGGCGGGAAACGCATTAACCAGTCATTGACACCTTAACCCTTCGGTGGTCCAGTGGTAACCACATCAGCATGCCTGGCTGCTTATTGGTTTTTACGATGCATGGCAAAAAACATAAAAATAACTATATAAATAGGGACAAAAAAAAGGGATGTAAGGAATAAAGAGTGTGCCGCCTCATAAAATGCAATTCAACAATTACACAATGGGAATTGCCACGGCCGTTTGGTATGTACAATGTACGATACACAATGATATATTTAACTGGGCAGTGGTCATTGGGTGGGTGGCTAAAGACAATACCATTTCTGCACAACATTTTGGGGGCTGTTACAATTACGTGGCCTGAACACACTATATATATGCGATATAATACCCATATTCGTCTATATTGGTCATGCATCTCGCGTGGTTACCCCCCTCCGAAAAAATATACAAAAAATAACAAATAAATGGGGGGAAAGACAAAAGCGAAACACACACTCTCTTTCGATTTTCGATTTCAATTACAATGCGAACACCACAATTACAATTGAAATGCACTCGGCGCACCTGTTACGCGTGTTACCTCAACTTACCGAACTGAGCCACCCAATTGGCCGTGTGTAATACCCGTAAACTTAGGCATCATATATTTTCTGGCTCTTGCGCAATCGATCTTCCCCAGCGATTTGGCCGTGATCGGCATGCCGGAGTTTCAGTTCCCATTTCCATTCCGAATCCCATTCCCATTCCCATTCCCAATCCCGTGCTCACAGATCCATCAGAGATCACCGGACGATAAGGTGCGTAATGATCCGGGGCCATGGGAAAGGGCACCGATTGAATGAATCAGTACTTTATCATTATTATTACTTTTATTGGAGCACCGGCATCACGATCGCTGTGCCATCAATTTGGCAACCCAATGATCTGGCCAAAGATCAAAGCGAGCAGATTGATTAATTGGACAGTTTGTTGCGATCAGTAAACAATTTGCAGCCTTTGCTGGGCAAGATCATAATGGATAAATCATCATGGCATTATAAGGCTATTTGGTATTGGGGCATTGTGAATATTGACTTTTAAGTTGTTCCCCAGTATTTGCTAGAGATTTGTTTTGGTCTGCCAAACATTTATTTATTATAAAATATTTTATTTAAGTTATGTTATTCTAAACACTATATATTTGATATACAAAAAACTTGAGTTTTAGAGTTCATTGAGTTGTAGAGTGTGCAAAAAACTAAATGTTGAATCTTCTATTGCTAATTTGTCATCATCGTGATAATTCAATTTTTGAAATATAATAATTAAATTCTATTTTATTTTTGTTGATCGATTATTGTCTTTAAACAAAACAAAAAAATACTCAACGTAGGTTTTAAATTAAAAAAAAATACCACGAATACGATTAACTAAATATTGTAACAAAAGTTGTCATTTAAATTTTAGTAAATTAGCAAAATTATTTTTATCGTGCCTCGTATTTATATTATATATATTTGACAAAAGTAATCGTACCTAAATAAAAAAAACAAAACGTCTTTTAATTGCTTTATTGAATTAGGTTCCTTATGATTTAAAATGGTATGTGAAAAACTTGGTAGAACCGTCAGGTGAGGCATATCTTATAAAAATTGCTAGAATTTTCGACCGTTGTTTTTATCGACAAGTTTCTACTATGCTAGTTAAATCAATGCGCTTAAAACAATGGAGGTTCTTTGTGATCTAATTTAATAGCAAAGCCAGATCCCATAAATAAACAAATAAACACCGAAAGCATTATAGATATTCCCAGAAATGTCTGGGTGCCATCTGGGCTGATTTCCCTTTCCATTGTCTTCTTTCACCCATCGAAAGTGTGATAACGAGGCATACGATATGCATATAGCCCGAATATAGCACAATCTTAATCCACAAAGTGGTCGTAAAAATTCGAAGAGTCACCGCCCCAGGGAGCGAGAATCGCTCTGGTTCCCTCGTTTAAAACCTGACCTACGAGACCCCTTCTGCGCTCGTAAACCCGATTCTCGATGGTTCCGTGTGAAGAGTTCTTGGTAATTCGGCTTTGGCTCACTTGGCATTTTACTTTTCTTCTCCATCTGGTACTCACCATTTCTGAATAACTAATTCTCGGTAATATTCTCAGGTGCTAGCACCCTCCGCGCTGAAAGGTTGATCCTCGGCCGAATGATTGATCTGGATATTCCGGCGAGTAGGTACCTTAAACCCGCCGGCTACCTGCAATTCCTGTAAGTATCTTTTAACTGATCACACTCGTCACTCGAACAAAAACGAAACAAAAAAATTTGATTGTGATTTTGGCAACTTTTTGGGCACTAAATTTCACTTTTATTGCAATCACCGAAAGAAGGCAGGGATGCTGTACACCGAATATATATATGTCGTATACAATATCTCCGACTGGATATCGCGTCCCAAACGCCGACGAACAACAACGATCGCTGAGCAACTGAGTATCGGAGTATCTCAGCAACTGAGTATCTTAGTATCTGAGTGGAGTATCTGAATCTGTGACTGCACATGCGCGCAGGCGCCCACGAACTGAGCGCTGGCCGTGGAAAATGCGGCAGGTAAGGCGGTCGATCATCGGGAGAGAGTTGTACCGCTGGAGAAACAGAGACAAAGAGAAGCAGAGAGAGAGAAAGAGAGAAATTGCCACGATCGTGACGCGTTCGCTACGTGAGCGGCATCCGCTCGAAGGCAACATGCAAAATGTTGCAAATATCTGTGACAACGACTATAGATCGGGCACAAGGGTCATCTTCATCCGAGGAATCTAATGGAATGGAAGACAACTTGCGCCTGGGGCACGAACCCGCAAGGCTTCCTTGCAACACCGCCAATTAAACTTTTGGCAAATACTTTGGGGGGCTACCAAAAAATATGTATATTAAAAGTATGCTAACACTATTATATAAACATCTTAATATAACTATTTATTATGTAACCTCAGAAGTTCAAAAAATCACATTTCAATTTGGGTGATTCCTCAGGTAAAGGACATAACCCAAAGATGATAATCCATGTTTAATATCATATTACTATTTGTAAAAGATCATCAGAAATACGGCTTTCTTTCCACAGCGTCAGTCATAGTTTTGGTTGTTGGGATAGTTAGTCAACTTAATTTGATAACCCTTAATTATGAAGATATTTATTGTTGATACCTTCAACCGCAAAAAAAAAAATTAACTATTTGTAAGCAAACTCTTTAGGATCCTTAAAATCGTCAGAAATATCACACCTTCCTTACCACACTGGCAAAATAATTTTTGGAATTATCAAATTTATAAGAATTGATATATGAATATCTTGTAACTTTTCATTATTGCTTAATGTAAATAAATAAATAAAGTATAGTTCGAGGTTTCACCTCGCGACTTTGAGTTACAAAAAATGAGTTTATGAATGGGCTTATTTACTGACCCTTTTGGCAAACAATTAGATAGGGCAAACCTTAGGTCTAGTCTATTAAATTAAATTTTCAAGTACTTGTGTTACAAAAGTCATGGTGCAAGGCCTTTCTTAAGTTAATAAGTAATATTAACCAACTAGACTCCTCGAAGTGTCCCAATTCCCTATTTTGCACATTCAGACTTATCCGCAGATTTCCTCAATTACGGAGAGCATTGCGACATTAGCAGATCGATGGATTGGCGAAACTACTTATATCTACAGCCCATTACATTGCCCACTTTTTATTTGAGAGTTGACAATTTTCTTAACTTCCAAATCATGATTACGGCGCTTGGAGTTACTCAACTGCAGCTCGGTTTTGGCTGGGCTTTTACTAGGAAGCTGCTGCCACACATAATCTTAATGGGCCGCGGTTCGCGTCCATCCGATCCCAACCCATCCCCCTGCAATCCAGAGAGGCATCGCAACTGTGAGATGATGGCCCGCATAATTGTACAACATTTAAATGTTGATCTTGACTGGCACCGACTCGGCCCAAATGAGATAAAAGAAATAATAAAACACAAAACGCGGGCTGGAGACAACGTGTAAATGTGCAAATGACATAACAAGTACGAGTCTGGGCTAGCATTTAAATAAAGATACAATTGTATCTGCCCATTTATCTCGACCCCCCCTCCACATCTACTCTTCCTCCGAAAGAAGAGTGACGGGTGTCCCCACCCAAAAGCCAAAAATCCCAAAAACAAACCGAAATGTTCGCACGCAAATGTTTGTCGACGGTGCGTCGATTGTTCCTCGAGTTTGCACAAATGAAAGTGGTCAACAACAAGACGATCCACTGTTACTGTTTCTGTTTCTGTTCGAGATGCAGGATGGGTACGACTGACCCCGATATCTGCCTGCTATCTACACTGCGAAAAAGTAAGAGTGCAGCAAGTCAATATTTGAAGTCAATATGACCATCCCCAGCTAATTGTGCGAAGCGACCCAACATATTGGCCAAGAGGAAAAGCCCGGTGAGTATTGGCATTTGGCAAACATTACTATACTGAGTTTTTCATTAAGGTGACCCAAACCTGCATTTTTTGGGCCGTAAGTTTTTAAACACAATTTAGTATACGTCCTAAAAATTGTGCTTACATTTTAAATTTAATTTCAATTTTGTTGTTCAAGTTCTTGTAATTATTGACCCCTTCTATAATTTTCGAAAATGGATGAAAAAATGACCTGAGTTTTGGGAAGTATAACATTTTACGATCTGCAATATATAGTTTCCATTATTATAAGATTTTGCAATTAGGTTTCCCTTTTAAGTTCATAACTTAACACATTGATTGCAAAGTGGATTATTTTTTAAATATTACCTTTTGTTATCATGTTTGTTAGTGTATTGTTATAGTAGTTAGAAGTTATGATAGACTTTAAGTCCTTCGAACTGTATTTCTATTCAATTTCAAGAATCTTTATGATTCGTAAACAGTTAAGAAAAATTTTTATTGTCTTACATTGTAAAGCTTACTATTTTTAAGTAGTTTTGCTAATTGAAAAATCCCTCTGAATAATATATTTTAATTAAAAAAGTATTATGAGTGTTAAACTTTTGAGGATTATTTTGATAGTCTTAAGTTATAGAGCTCACTATTTTTAAGTGATTTTTTCTAATTTCTAAAGGGTTATAATCGCCTAAAATGATCATCACATTTTCTTGCTGTGCTTGCCAACTCTTTTAAGTATCCATTTGCCTATGACCGTTTAGGGCCAAATGGCAAACAACTTGTGTGCCAAATGACACTATGCACGTATCCCGGCTTTGGGATTGGGCTTTAGGATTGGGATGGGGCTAGGTATGGGGATTGTGGGGGGCAGATAGAGGGGCTGTACGTGATTGGACTGCCTCCAAGCTGCGAATTTCGTCCGGAGTTTGGCCTGCTTCAATTGTCGCCGCCACTTGCGATGCCGCTGAAAAGGCATTTTAACGAGCTACGCGCATGCGCAATTGTCCAACCAAGCGGTGTCGCCGATGCCGAAGCTCCGAGTCCGCCGCTTTTTATGCAACTTCTCAACAGCTCGGCCAGCGGACCGAGCCCCATTTTGCGCCCGGTGAGAGACTTTCACTCATTTGGGAATCCATCGGGTTGTGGCCGCCGTGCGATTGGATTGAATCAGCGCATTTATCGCATTCATTGCAGATTCCCTCGCAATTGAACCCGTGCTCCCCCATGCGGAAGTTTATTAGCCACCCACTGACCACTGACCACTGACCACTCAACACTCAACACCGAGCACCGACCACTGATCCGCGGCAAAAAGACACGGAACCAGCAGATAACTCGGCTATTTTCATTCATTATCGCCTTGAATTCAACCGCACGTGATTGAATGTCGGTTTGACGGCGGGAATAAGACAAACAAGAAAGATGTGTTGTTTTGACATGTATTTATAATTTATAGTACACATTAAGCAGTCGATATGTCGGAAATATCCCCACGGATATACCCTCGTTAAGGACACACAAGGATAACAAAGGAAAAAGACCGATCGACAATAAAATACAAAATCTGTGTAAGCCAATACTTACATAAGTTTGATAAATTAATTTCGTAATGATTAATTAAAAAAAAATAATAATCACAGAACCTTTTGAGTATCAACTATGAAAATATCTTCAATAAATCAATACTTTAAAAGGGAAAATAGGTAGTAATTATTTATTTTCATTTGACAAAGATTAGATAATATTCGGGGAATTCTTGGTTGATTAAAAAGAACTACTTACGTTGGACTCTACTAATTTTCGTTTTTCTTCCATTTACGACAGCTTAGTTTCGATTACATATCACATAAAACAACAAAGGAGATATTTTTTGACATCCAACCAAATTTATTTTCACATATAAATGAAAACGCACTAAAAAATATAAAAAATAAGGAAATAACGACATGTTTTAGTGAATCGCATTTAATTTATACAGGTCAAGATCATTCAATAAAACGAAGATAAGATATTTTTCCAGGAACTGACAAAGGGAAGTTATTCTAAAACTTCAGCATGGCTTTTGATATTAAATGTTCTGCAGAAATGACACATTCAGCCATGCTGAATAGCAACTTATTGTTTTATAGAGTTATTTAACTTTATTTCAGAAAAGATAAGATTCATCTCCAGGAACTCAATGGTAAGTCCCGGTGGTAAATCATTTACTTTCAGCCAGAGAAATAAACCTGCAGTGAAAGATGAATGAAAGTAGCAAATATCTTTTAGAGAGATTAGATAATATTTAAGAAAATTACCATGCCAAGGTTCAATGGATGATAGCCACAAGGATGAAAGTACCCTTAGATCATCCAATTAATATTATAACAGCAAGGAAAGAATGTCCCATTTCAATCATTTTTTTTTAGATGTTTGTTCCAGGAATTTCTACTACAGTGCAAAAAATTTGATTTGTGATCAGGAAATGGATTTGGTGACATCTTTGCGAGCCCCATTTGTCACTTTAGAACTGGTCAAACGACTTTTAATGACAGGCGATAAGATAGTGGGACTCCCTTCTTATCGCCTTGATGGATAATGCGAATGAAATTGAAATTAAAATTGCCGTCATACGGAACCACTTGACAAGCCATCAAGATGTTAGATAGATTTCCAATAAATTAATAATAATTAAACTAGAATTTATTCACTTCAGAAAAAAAAAAAAGTAATCACAAAGAAAAAAAACACCAGAAGCTATGAAGTAAATAAAGGCTGTAGGTTGGGTAAACGCAAGTGACTGGTTTTATTGCCTCGCATCCCCTTTTTTAGCCACGCGATCCTCGCCAGAAATATCCCTTTTCTTAGGCGGTGCAGTCGTACTTCGACGAGCAGATGCTATTGAAGGGATCGAACTGCATGTCTCCCGGACACTTGAAGGGGTACGAGTTGACCTCGTCGCCATCGCCGTAGCTGCAGACGATGAAGTGCGTGCAGCTACCGTCCATCGGGAAGAACCCGGTGGTGGCGCAGTTCTGGTCTTCCTTCGTGGTTGCCGAGTCGTCGTCGGTGGTTTTGGTCACGTCGGTGGGATCGGTTACGGGCTCCTCGGTGGTGCGGTCATCGGTTACGGGTTCATCGGTTTCATCGGTCACGGGTTCATCGGTCACGGGCTCATCGGTCACGGGTTCATCGGTCACGGGTTCATTAGTTACGGGCTCATTGGTTACTGGAGCATCGGTTGCTGGTTTCTCCGTGGTCACAGGATCATCGGTGGCAGGTTTCTCCGTGGTCACAGGATCATCGGTGGCAGGTTTCTCCGTGGTCACAGGATCCTCAGTGGCTGGTTGCTCGGTGGTTGTGGGAGCCTCTGTGGTTGCAGGAGCATCAGTAGCTGGTTTTTCCGTGGTCGCAGGATCATCGGTAGCCGGTTTCTCCGTGGTCACAGGAGCCTCAGTAGCTGGTTCTTCCGTGGTCACAGGAGCCTCCGTGGAGACTGCATCGGGGACTGGTTCGGGCGGAATGGTGGGGTTCTCGATGTTGCTATCGTCGCGAGCCTCAATCCGGGAGGTGGCGACGCACTGCGCCGAGGAGGAGCTGAAGACCAGGCCGGCGGGGCAGCGCAGGAAGCGCATGGAGAAGCCACCGAGTCCGGTGGACTGGCAGGCGTAGAAGTCGGGCGTGTTATCCACTAGGGTGAAGTAGCCGCTCTGGCGGCACAGGGACTTGGCCTCGATCACTGAAGGGGCCAGGACGAGGGCCAGGCCCAGGAGCATCGATAGCTTGAACATCTTCTACGTGGTTTCGATTGGTTTCGCTTTGGTTCTCGGTACTTGGTTCGACGGACTAACTGGCCGGACAATCGATCCGGCTCTTTTATAGCCAGGCCCAAAAGGTGCCGGTGGCAATCTTCCAGATTGCGTGCGATTGGCTGATAAAGACGAAATTCGATAATAGTGGCCGAAAAGTCTGACTAAGCTTCAGATAGGGGATCAATATAAATGGCATATCTCCAGGTGCTCCAAAAATCGTATCTCTTGCGCAGTGGAAATTCCCACTTTAAGAAGTTTTGAACTTCTTAAAAAGACAAGTTTTATTGAAAAATGATAATATATCACATGCAGTTATGGATAGGCTTATTGTGCATTTCCCACCTTATCTGCTTTCCAAAACTAATTAAGTTATCTTAATATCTCGAAAGTACTTACAAATCTTTAAGATAAAACAATATTTTTATTTTCCTTGAAAAACATTCCATTTCTTCTATAGTGTCCAAAACGTAGATCATGTAAATGAACATTAAACAACACCAAATAATTGATATCTTAAGTTAAATACTACAAATATGTTAGAGAAATAAATTGGTATAGTCTCCCTAACTTGTTTTCACAAAAGCAAAAAAAGTATCTTTTTCTAGAAACCTTTATACATATTTACTTGTTTTTGTTTATTTATATTTTAAGCTCTGAAATAAAAAACAGAAATTTGCTTAGTGAAGATAAGGTCTCTTCGTATAGTATCCAAGGGTGTAGTATAGTATCTAGCAGAGCAACTTAAAAGCTTAGGAAGACTGACATTTTTCTTTACAAAGATTTCACACCTGTTCAAGCCGTCCAATCTTTTCTACATACCATAAGCCAATAAAAATTAAATTAATAGCAAAAACCTTAACCTTGTGAGGTTCCTTTTTTTAGTTTCTTCGTTTTTAAATTTTAAAGCAGAGTAGAATAAGATGACTTAAAAACTAAACGCTCTAATGTATTGGTTCTTTCCATAAAGTCAATTCTTAATAAATGAATTATATGTTCAAAATATATTTATAATCTTTATTTACACCACAAAGCAAAAAAAAAACAGTTAACAAAAAAAATGCCGGAATATAATTTTACAGGACTAGAGCAATGGACCAACATAGGAGTGTGGGGGGAAGGGGGGCTTAGGGTATCCAGGATAAAGAACTGGTCTACTCCGCGGACTCGGCGCTCTCAATGGACTCGCCCTTGGCCTTGTCCTTCTCGGCCTTCGCCTGCTGCTTGGCCTGCTCCTTGGCGGCCTTCTTGGCGGCCTTCTCCTCCAGCTTCTGCTGCTTCTTGGCCAGCTTCTCCTGCTCCTTGAGGGCCTTCTGGCGCAGCTTCTCCTCGGCCTTGTACAGCTTCAGTTCCCGCTTGATGGCCGCCAAATCGCTGACCTCCGTCGCCTCCTGTCCAGGCACAATCTGCGTCCAGTCGTAGCGCCAGCAGCCCCCGATTACGGCCTCGAACCTCTGGCCACTGGAGCAGCGCACGATGAACTTGTGGAAGCCGCCCTGCAGACTGGCCACGCAGCTGTAGTAGTAGGTCTCGTCCTGTCCAGCGAATCTGCCCACGGCCAGGCACGGGAAGCCGTCCTCCTGGCACTCGGCCAAGTCCCTCACGCACCTGCCCAGGCTCGGCGAGAAGGCGGTCAGGAGCGGGCAGGTGACCTCAATCTCCTGCAGCTGCCGCAGCACGGGATTGTACAGGCAGTTGTGGTAGCGCCTGCAGTCGCCACTGATGTGCGGGAAGAGTCCCGCCGCCTGGCACTTGAATGTGGGCGGAGTGGGTGCGATGGTGGTCTCAGCAGGAGTGGCGGAACTGGAGGAGGAACTGGGACTGGAGCTCTCCGCTTCGGCTGGGGAGGAGCTCTCCGGCTCGGCTGTGGAGGCGGAACTGGAGCCCTCTGATTGGGATGTGGAGGAGGAACTAGAGCTCTCTGGTTCGGCTGTGGTTGTTTCCTCTGGAGCTGGAGTAGTGTCCTCGGGAGCGGATGAAGTCTCCTCGGGAGCCGAAGATGTCTCCTCGGGAGCGGATGAGGTCTCCGCGGGAGCGGATGAAGTCTCCTCGGGAACGGATGAAGTCTCAGGAGCTAAGCTGGAGCTTTCCTGGCCAGCTGGTGAGGTTTCCGGGGCGGCAGTGCTGGTCTCTCCATCCCCAGAGGCACCTGTGGAGTTCTCCTGATCATCTGTGGTGGTTCCCTCATCGACAGCAGTGGTCCCCTCATCCGCCTTCGTGGTGTCCTGATCCCAGCCTCCGGGCGTGGTGCTCTCCCAGCCGCTTCCCTCCTCACTTGGCTGAATGGTGGTGGTGGTGTCGCTCCATGGCTCCGCTTGGGCCACATCCTGAGCCGCCGAACCGTCACCGCTGAGCGCCAGGATGCCGCAGGACTTGGTCAGCAGCTGCAAGTTATCAATGGTCAGGTGGTATATACCCTCGATCCTCGTCTCCTTTGGCGGAGGAACTTACCAGGGCGGCGCAGAGCACCAGGATGGTGGAGAACTTGGAGATCTTACGACCCGTCATCTTTCGCACTGTGAAGGTGGTTGGACTGGATTCTGTGCTTCCTGCTGGTTGTAGTTGTAGTTGTAGTTGTGGTGTTGTTGGTGTAGGTGTTGGTGTCGTTTTCATCGTCGCCAGTGGCTAACGTCGGTCGATCGTTGTGTGAGCTGCTGGCCGAGAACACAGCCGATTATATAGCCCGTTCTGGACGGGATGCTGATGCTGGGATGCCTTATCGGGCTTAGCACCTCCCCACTTACTTGCCTACTCACTAACGTATCTGATAGATATAATAGATACCCAGATACAGATAGACAGACGTTCTCGTATATGGTGCAAATAAAATGTGCTGCTGTTTTTACCCCGCTCTGACGTCGTCACTCGGCGTTTTTGGGTTGCAAAATACAGTTGTAAACCCGTAAAGTGTGAGGGGGGTGGATGGGTGCGATCATACTCCGCGGATGTGAAACGGAAGTGTGTAAAGATAAGCCCGGTAAGTCCACCGGGGGAGGTCAAGTGGGCGGTGGGATGGCAGTTGCTAGATAATTCTGTTTGTCCGGTTTTCGTCTTTCGGTGCTTCTGTTTTTGTTGCCAATCTTTCTTTGAAGGGAAGTCAAAACAAAGACTGTGACGCATCCACAACTTGGAACCGTGGGCTGATCCTTATTCGATCTACAAATCACTCTCGAGCTAAACTGATGTCTCATGATAAGGTCACTTTACTGGACAATCTTAATTCATAAACTATAAAAGAATAAAATATATACATATACATTATAAGGGAAACATTTGCGCCACTACTGTTCTGAATAACAGTACCTTTTTAAATGTATTTAATCTAAATAACACTGAGAAATGTAATTACTTACAAATCTTTACCTAAAGAAATTGTTGATGCACTTTAAGCTAGCACTCTTGCAAACTTTAAGATACCAACTTAATCTCATGTTAGTTACTCATTTTGTTATTTGCATATCATTGTGATATTCTAAATATTTCATTTTTAGGTCTGCGAAGTCACCTTTCTGTTGAAAAATAGTGGTTTGAGGTCATTAATAAACTAGCCCATATTTGAGCATATTAAGCACATTAAGAATTATTTTCGTGAATCATAAAGGAGCTACATATCACATAACTTTGACAAAATTATAAATCAAAAATTAACAATGCAAATTAATTGAAAGTAAAGCAACAACCATTTAATGGATTTTCTTGAAATCCGAATTCAATAGTCTTTTGCTATAATTATAATTATTTCAGTAAAATCCATTGAAGTCACATAACACAGTCTTTCGCACATCAAACATAGTCAAAAATACTTGGATCCTCAAATAGTAACTCCAATTATCGAGTTCTTTAAACTGGTAGGAAAACATACACATTAAATGTTTCATTTATTTTCATTAAAGTATTGAAAGATGTTGTCAAGCAAATCTACCCAAAACCATTAAAAAAAAATTTTTTGCAGGTTGATATGGAATGAAATAATGTGTTTTTAAAATATTCCTAAATAGAATATAGGTTTAAATTGGTCAAATTGTGACCCGATAAATATGTTATTGGCAGGAGCAAAGCCTTTAAATAATGGTTAGAAGTCATTAATGAAAGCTGTGAATGATGGAATATCTTTTGAGGCCAGTGATAAACTTTTTCGGCAACTAAATGTCAAGTGGAAATCGAATAATACGGGGTTCCTGTACAGGTAATCAGCGTTTTCGGGTAGTTCAAAACACATTTATATCAATGCTATCCAATTGGGAGCCACACCCCAAAGTGGCTGACCCCGTTTCTGGCTGTGATCCACCAGGTGGATCTGGATCTGGATCTGGATCCATGCCGAAAGCCACCACAATGGTCACCCCATTTATCTGCTCCGGCTGTTGGCCATAAACATAATCCACTGCTGACGCCGCTGCTCGCTGACTGAATTGCAGGCAAACGGAAAACGGCAAACGGCAAACGGCAAACGCTCCACATATCTGACGTTAATCTCGCGGATAGCCAGATATTCAGATATTTAGATACTCAGATGTTCAGATACCCAGATAACCAGATAGCCAGATACGCAGCTGCGCAGATACACTTGTGCAGTGTGTGGACACTGATATCTGGTATCGTGATAAGAGCTCCAGCCCCGATGTTATCAGTCTGCCTCTCCGGGTCTCCGGTTCTCCGGGTCTCCCACTCGCGGTGCTCCAACCGAATATGTGGGTCTTTTTGTTCGCCATTATCTAAAAGGTTTCGGTGGTTAGGTGAATGATGAATGCCAGCGGCTAGACGGAGTGCACACACAAATTCCAAGTGCCCAGTGCGAACGGATACGGATCACCGTCAGTTAGCCAGTAAGCCAGTTAGTCAGTTAGCCAGCTAGTCAGTTAGCCAGCTAGTCAGTTAGCCAGCTAGGCAGTTAGCCCCCATCCAGTTTCATAGGACATCTGGGAGCAGGGAGGAGCAGGCATGGCAACCTCTGCGATCGGCGGGGTGGGAGTGGGTCTGGGTGTGGCCACGTCCAGTCCAGTGCGCCGACCCACCGCCAGAGCCACCGCTGGCATCCAACGGCGCCGGGTGGTCAAGAAGCACATCCAGCAGAAGTACATGCTCTGCGGCTTCGCCATTCACGTAAATAGCATATCTCTTTCGTAATGGAGACGAGTGTGTTTTTCATCTGTTTCGTTTCTTTTTTTTCACCCCCAACCGACAGGCTTTTCTGGCCACCCCCGCCTATCTGTATGGGAATGTGGTGGAATCCGACAAGGATCTGGTGCTGAGGATCTGGCCAGCCATTGTCTACCAGGCCACCGGAGAGCTATGCCGCTCCATTATGGAGCACCTGGACACAGAGTACAGCGGCAGGTCGAGGGAGACGACGCAGTACAGGAGGGTCTTCCTGCTGGCCACCCTCATCGCCTGCGTTTCCCTGATGGTCAGCGGAATACTCTTCTCCTCCGCCTGGATCGTGGTCACCACCACCACGCAGGTGGTGGCCATCGTCTTCTACGGATGCTTTGCGGGTGAGTAGAGGTCGAGGCATTTGGAATCTGGAATCTTTAATCGGTAATTTGTAAGCTAAAAGGGCGCGAAAGTAGGGAACAAAACAAAAAATTGTATAATTCGTACAGTTGTGTGCTTAAAAACACGGAAGTCTATTGTTTATGATTTTTTTTTTAAGTAAAAGTATTAAATCATCCTACACTAGATATGTTGCAACGGGAACATAACAAAAAGGTTTATTTCTAGTACACAACTGTACTAGTGTGCATTAAACACATGTGACTTTTTTTATTTTTTTGTTATGAAAGGGAAGATAAAATCATTCCACTGCAGGTATTTTAAATAGGGAACATAACAAAAATCGTATTATACGTGCATTAATCTCTGTTTTTATATATCTCAAAGAAAGGCTTAAAAATATTCCGCACCAGAAATATTGCATAGCTTACTGGTCGTATACGTAATATACCACGTATTCGCATTTTTGTGTGTGGAATTATGGTGCAGCAGCACTTTGAATTTGTTTTTTTAACTTTAAATACAATTTTAAATCTATGACTCAAACAAGCAACCAACAAAAATGTTATTATTTATTAAACTTATTGATCTATGTATATATTTTGCGTAATACTCTCTTTCAATCGATTGCTTTAGTAATCCTCTTATAAACTCAATGCAAATATTGGTTTTGACGCAAGCGAACATAGGTTTGTTTATCATGTATAAACGTAAATAAATAACTAACGTATAGATATTTTCCGCGTAAACACAATTTTCTCATCGAAAAATGCGACTTATGGAATGAAAACGCGATTAATATACCAAATTCTGTAAATGAAAATTCAACTTAAATATGTATGAATTCACTAATAAATTAATTAAAATGTTTATTCCAAATTTTAAAAATCCGTACTTAATCTGGAATTATACATATAATTTCAAAATTTTCATTTTTTTTAAATATCAATCCTATTGGTATTTTGATTATAACTAAGTTTGTTTTTAACATAAAAAATATATGTTTAATGGATCAATATATTTTTGTTGTATATACATATTCGAATACTAATGTTTTAGTTTAATATTCGGATACTAAAGATTGAGTTATGGATTAGGTTGTTTTTAAATTTGGGGAATCGAACCTAATTTAGTGCCCTTTTCCCCTCGCGTAGGCATTGGAGCCAGCTTGTACCAGTGGAAGACGCACGTGATCCTGGAGGCAGTGCGTCCGCGGGAGGACAAGTACGTGCGGAAGACGATCCACCTGTGCGGCGAGGCCTTCTGCCAGCTGTTCCTCTCGTTCGTGTTCACCAGCCTGCGCACCCTCTACGGCACCGCCCAGTCGATCGTCCTGATGTCCGCCCTGCTGGTGAACCTCATCCCGCTGAGCCTGATCATCACCAAGCACCGCGAGGACGCGTTCACCACGAAGCGGATATCGGTGATCAAGGCGGAGACGGGATTCGGGGCCCTCCCGCTGCGGGCATCACTGGCGGCCAACCTGGTGGCGGACCAGCTGGACGGCCTGGACACGCTCTCCTGGCGCAACCCGGCCACGGAAATGGCCGCTCCGGGCGCAGTGGTGGCCGCCGCCGTGGTGGACACCCACAGCAACTACATGCTGGCCACGGACGAGGCCTATGTGACATTTGTGAACCCCAATGGGGTGGAGATCATGGAGATCATACCCGAGGAGGACGAGACGGTGTCCATGATGCGGTCGAGCAATGCCACCATCGACAACTACGCCATGTCCGCCTCCCAGATGTCGCACAAGTCGTTGTCCAATGGCCGGCTGTATCCAGCAACGCCCCAGCATCCGGTGGCCACGGGAACGGGCAGCTCCTCGCCCCTCCCCCCCGACTATGCCAATCTGGTGAGTTTTCCTGGTGGTGGGTGTGTTGGGGAACACCCCTTCGATTTCCCAGTCTCAGACTCTTCCTCCTCCTCCTTCTCCCCCGATCTTGTAGCGCCGCATCCGACGGATGTCGCGGGCGGTCACCTCGCATCTGTGGTGGAATCTGTTGGACAAGATCGCCATGCCGCTGCAGCAGGCGCTGCTGGTGCCGCAGCTGTACGCCACCACGCTGCTCCTCTCCGCCGACATCTTCAGCTATGTGATGTGCCTCACCGTGCTCCCGGGTCTGGCCGTCAGCCACCATGCGCTGAAGAACGCCGAGATCCCGTTCCTCTTCTCCCTGCTGGCCTTCCCCTGGATGTGCTTCTCCCTGATGACGCCGCGCTTCGGGACGAGCCTCTACAAGCGCAAGATCCAGTGGCACACGCTGGGCAGCATCTGCAAGTGCCTGGCCCTGATCTGTAAGTCCTAGCAACGTTGCAGTCCCAAACAGAACCCTTCCCCATCGGAGAATGTGGGTCTGGTCAAGTACGCAGGAGGAATTCTTGTTCAAACGATTTTTTTTGTTTACTTTTCATTTATGCTCTTTTGAGAAAGCAAACTTTGGCAGGGCGAATCTTATATACCCTTTCAGCAGGGCCGTTGAGTGCCACACCGGGCCCTTTTACGATTCTTATTTGAATTATACAGAAGTGTTATACACTAGAAGCTAAATGAGTTTAGTCACAGAACAAAAGTGGACTTTTTGATATATGTTTTTCTTTCTCAATTTTTCTAAACATCTAACTTTTCGAAAAAAATTTCTCGCTGCCGGGCCCCTGACCAATGCGTGCCCCGGGGAAACAAACCGGGCCCATTTTTAAAAATGTTCGAAAATTACGAAAAATTGACCCAAAAAATTTAACCAATATTTAAATGCAGATATTTTGAGATCTAAACCACAATCATTTTGAGGTATGCCACTTTTGAAATCGGATGTCTGTACGAAATGTTATGAGCTTAGAAGGGCAGTTTTTTGTCACTTTTCTGCAAACCCATTTTTCGAAAATTTGGAAAAGGGTAACATCATTAAAATGACGAAAAATCGACGAAAAAAAATAATTTAAGTAGGGACGCAGATTTGTAGGGAATTAAACCACGATCATTTTGGGTTATGCCACTTTGTAATCGGATGTCTCTAAGAAAAGTTATGGGCTTGGAAGTGCAGGTTTTGGTCACTTTTCTGCAAACCCATTTTTCGAAAATTTGCTTACATTGCTTAAAATGATGAAAAATCGACCCCAAAATACAAACCAAGCTTAAAACACATATTTTTAGAGAATTAAACCACAATCATATAGAAGTATGCCACTACGAAATCGGATGTCTGTAAGAAAAGTTATGGGCTTAGAAGTGCAGGTTTTAGGTAACTTTTCAGCAAAGCCATTTTTCGAAAATTTGCAAAGGGGTAACATCATTAAAAATTACGAAAAATCGACCCTAAAAAAAAAAAAGGTGAACACACAGTTGTTTAGAGTAATTAAACCACAATCATTTTGAAGTATGTCACTTTGAAATCGGATGTCTGTAAGAAAAGTTATGAGCTTAAAAGTTCAGTTTCTTGGCACTTTTCCGCAAACCCATTTTTCGAAAGTTTGGAAAGGGTTATCATCATTGCAAATGACGAAAAATCGACACCAAAATACAAACCAAGTTGAAAATACAGATGTTACGAAAATTAAATTACAATTATTTAGAATTATGCCACTTTGAAATCGAACTTCTGTAAGAAAAGTTAAGGGCTTGGATGGTCAGGTTTTAGGCCACCTTTCTGCATTTTCGAAAATTTGGAAAAGGTTAACACTGTAAAAATAACGAAAAATCTACCGCAAAATACAAACCACGTAGAATACAGGTTTTGGTCATTCTTCTGCAAAACCATTTTTCAAAAATCATAAAAATTACGAAAAATCGAAGTCAAATTATTAAATCATTTAAAAGTATGCCACTTTGAAATCGGATGTCTGTAAGAAAATTTATGGGCTTTGGAGTGCAGAATAAATTTGCAAATCGAGATAGTTTTGACATAAAAAATAAGTCATAGGAATATTTTCAATTAAATTAGTAGATAAAAGATATCAGCAATCAAAGAAACACAAACTTTAAAACCAAATATTTTCCACTTTACCCACAGTCATCAGCTTCTCCACGTCCAAGCTGCTGCTCAGCGTGTCCGCTGTACTGCTGGGATTCGGCCAGGTGGTGACCGCCTTCCTGCAGGAGCTGGTCTTCCAGCTGGGCATGACGCGGGCCAACTGGACGGCCATCCGGCGCCCGGTGCACTTCACCAACGGCCTGCTGGTGCTCCTGTGGGGCGCCCTCGCCCACTATGTGGTGGAGCGGTACTCCTTCCAGGCCAGCGTGGGACTCGCCGGTGCGCTCTATGGAGTGACCACGCTGCTCTGGAACTTCCTCTTCTTCTGCTGCCAGAGCAAGGACTGAGGAAAGGCAGGATCTGCAGGATGTGCACGATATGCAGGATCTGCTGGATCTGAAGAATTCGGTTATCGTAGTCTGTGTGTGTTGCTGTTGTTGACGTTGTCGTTGGTGTAGTTGTTGTTGTATTTGTGCAGTGATATTAATAAATAAACATACATATAAACTATACATTAAAAACACAAAAAGAACAGGAACAAGTAGGCCTGGGTTTTTTTGTCCAGAGCTGTTATCGAATATACATATAGATTTTCATTTTTCACTCTTCACTTGCCAGTCAGTATTGTCACAGAGTTTGTTCGGCGTGCAAGTATAAAAATTGACTACGGAATTAACATGTAAGTTAAAAATTTTCCTAAGATTTCTTACTTACGTACGAATATTCCGTCTGCTGTGTCTAACGTATCCTTTTCTACAAATAACACTAGACCTTTTTTTGTCCGCATAACAGCACCGATACATTTAAGTGTTTATAAAGCTATGATATAAGAACAAATTTTTGTCCCATGTTTCAATAAATAGACACCCTGAAACATGTTAAACTGTATTCTAAATATATGATTCGAACTTTGTATGGTTAAATTTTTATCTTTTTAATAAATTATGTATGTAATTATAAATTATGTATTTTAGTTCGATGAACATAATTAAATATTGTCGTTGTGAATACCCTACTAATTTTACCTTAATTAAATATAAACAAATTTGAATTGCTAGCTGACGCAAGCTGTTTGATACAAAAAATTACTGCAAACATCAGACTCCAATCGATAACTATATTGTCTGACATTACAGAGGTATCGATTGTACGGTCACTCTAGTACCAGCACGCCAAAAAAAATGAAAATTCTTTCTTTTTAGAATTTTTGCCTCGCCTCGTCGACAGTAAAACCAAGTGAATTGCAAAACGACCGTGTCCAACGGCTAGCCAAGCGGTAAGTGATCTACTCCGGGGCAATAAAAAGAGGGGAGAGCGGACCAGCGGCGGCGGCATTTTCCGGTGGCCACAAAAGCGGGAAACCCGAATGCGCAAAATCACGGCTGCGTTCAACCGGCTTTCCTTTTTATTTTCACAAGCGAGTACATTCGACTCCTGTTGCCCCCGTTTCCATTTGTTTGGCCTGTAATTCCAGCTAAGAGCTGCGGAAGCGGTAAGCGAACAGACGCATGTCGCAGATTTTCAAGGACGCCGTTGTGAACACATCCAGATCCGCATACGATGCCGGAACCAATGGCTCACCGTATTCGCCAATAGGCCAGGCTTCGGCAAATCAGCGACAAGCGGCACACTTGCCACACCACTTACCAGCGGATTGGCGAGTTTGGAAATCTCCTGGAATCGAGGACTGCGCCCCATATTCGTTGTCATACTCGGATTCGCCCCAGAGACCTCGATACTCGCCAATATCGTCAGCGGCAGGTAACTCCTTGGGATCACAGTACTCTCCAGAAGAACCAGCATCCTCGTATTCGACCGCAAATGATTACTACTCATTGTCGGAGTATAGCCATTCCACACCGACACTCTCCGATGCTTCCGTACTGAACAATCACCAGCAGCAGCAAAACAAGCAACGCCAGTACTTGGGTACCCCGGCCAACCACCTCGATTCAGAGTCGCATTCCTACCGCCCCGACGCGGAGATTCAGTACTACGAGCAGTTTACAAGTGAAATCTACAGCCAGCACTTTGAGCAGACCCAAGGTAACTGCCTTCAGGTTGCGCAAAGCACCGAGATAAACGAGAATTACCAGCCAGATCTCCCAATCGCTAACCACATAGAGCTAGTAGAAGGTGGACAGGAGCTGTACTTCAGCACTGAAAGAGGATCGTACCCAGAAGAAAATCGAGAAGACGTATTCCCGGGCTTTATCAGAACAACGGGGGCAGTCGATAAAAGAAAAGTCCCAGCTTCACTGCAGCATGATCTGCCGCAGATTAAGAGCTCAGGACTGCTGGTAGAACCAACGGATTTGCATCCTCTCACCAGTTGTGTGCGCAACGCTCTCAAGCTTATCAGCGATATCTGCGAAAACTTGACGGCCAATCCAAAGCATCAGCACGCCGAGGAGCAGAGCTGCATCATCAACCTAGTGCGCCATAAGCTCGCTGATGTGTGCCACACGCTGGTAGACGACGCCACCAACGGCCAGTCCACCGCGCAGACCTTATCCCTGCTCAGAGAAATCGCTGTGGGCATCGAGCGCACCAAGCAGCAGGAAAAAAGCTTCAGAGAAGCGCAGGCGAAAATCATCGGGCAATCTGACGACCTCCAGCAAAGCATTTCAATGGGCTTGGATCTTCTGAAAAGAATCCGTCAGTTTGTAACCGGTTTGTATAAGCCGAAAGAACCAGAATCGGACACCGGCGAAGAGGGCTCGGGATCTGAAAGCCAAAGCGGAACAGGCCGTGGAGACGACCAGCAGCCGGAAACTATTAATATACCCCGGAAGAGACGGTAAGCTCTCTTGACTTTTTCAGATACTATGATACTAGACTTTGCTGTATTTTGGTTTTTAATATACCCAAATAGATTACAAAGATTCCTTTAGCGGATTTTGATTTTAAGATCGATTATAATTTTCATAAATAATGAAATATCTTTAAATTAAACTGATTGATTTCCTGTCCTTGCAGCAACCAGGAGGAAGATCCTCGCCTGATCAAGTACCGGCGCGTGGACAACTCATTTCCCCGCTTTATACCGAATGAGCCTGCTGACGACCCAATTCCCAACAAGTCTATGGCAGAGCGAGAGCGCGAAAATCAGCAGCAGGGCTCCAAGCGGCTGTCCATATTCAATCCGCCAGTCTACACGCAGCACCGGGTGCGCAACAATGCCCCTTATGCCCCCAACCCATTCGACCTCTCGGACGATGAAGAGCCATACCAGTCATTTGCTAGCACCGGTTTATCATCCAAACCATTCTCTTCAGTTGTCGCATCAGGAATAGCGCGTGTCACCCCGCAGCTTTCCTTCTCGGATGCCGTGCGCCTGGGTCAGAATGGCTTTGCAGAGACCCGTGTGAATGGGCACAACACCCACATGGGGGTGGGCCTTCGGGCCCCATCTCGGGGGGAGAAGAGCATCCTGACCCACGAGATGGAGCGCATGGAGCATGAGCAATACCTCAACCTCATCAACGCCGTATCCCAGAATGAGTCCGGGACCAGCCGCTTCGCCAAGGCAAATGCCCAGCAGCTGCAGAGCCTAGACACCCAGCCGGCCACCTGGAGTTCCATACTGCGCGGCAGCCAGCTTCGACCATCACAGCAGCCATTGTGGCCCAAACGCGAGGAGGGCCACGTGAACCGCGAGCTATCCGAGTATGCCAATATGATCAGCCGCGAGGCCGAACAGCAAAGCCGCGCACCGGCACCACCACCACCAGAGCTTATGCAACTAGATAACATAAACAACAGCCATGCGTCCACCATTTCCAGCAGTGGCAGCTCCTCCAGCAGCTCGTCCAGCGGCTCCAGCAGCTCGTCGAGCAATTCTGGGTCCCGGTCCGGGTCCGAGTCCGAGTCGGAGTCCTCTGTGATGGTTGCTGCTGCCGGCAGTGTGGAAGGCAAAAAATCTACTGTGAACAACCACTCGTGAGTAAATTTATTAAAAAGGGAGAAAACCAATCTTGGAAAAAAAACTTTATTTTATCACCCAGAAATAGTGGTGCTCAGAAATCGAACAGCGTCCAGAATGCATCGACATCTTTCACCGAAGCCTTGCATCGTCGTTTTGCCAGCTGCGTCTTCCTCAAGGATGACTTCGGAGACCAGTTTAGATCGAAGGCTGCCCGAAGGCACGAGGAAAATGAACATCTCCGTGCATTAGCAGTTAAGGAGTAAGATTCCGTTACCAAACCTTCGAGCTCAGTACTAAAATGTTTTGAAAAATTTCAGGGCTATTCGCAGCACAGACGAACGCCGTAAATACGAGGAAATGCTCCGGGAAAACATTTTCCAGTACCGTATCCCTCACAAGCCCATCTTCGTTATCGGGGGCCTAGACAAGAAGGTTGCTAAAAAGGAGGAGCCTCAGCTCATTCAGCTGAACGAAGAGCATATACGACGCTACGCCGATTTAATGCAGGGTCCACCTCAGCAGGTAGGCAAATAACTATATATTTAATGTTTTATGGCGTTCTGCTACCGCTTTCGATTCCAATCAAATGAATGTTTTAACCTTTGTTGATTACAAGGATTCATAACTAGTATTGACTTTTTTAAAACAAATTTCAGGTACTTATTACCAAGTTTAACTTGCACATCACCCGCGATGACATACGCACACTACTTGGAACCTCGTGGCTTAACGACGAGGTAATCAACTTCTACATGTGTTTGCTAACCAAGCGCTCGGAGGAGCGTGCTGGCCAAGTGCCTAGTGTTTATGCCATGAACACATTCTTCGTGCCGCGCCTTTTGCAAGCTGGGCACTCGGGCGTAAAGCGCTGGACAAGGAAGGTGAACTTGTTCGCCAAGGACATAATCCCGGTGCCAGTTCACTGCAACGGTGTTCACTGGTGCATGGCCATCATTCATATGCGGAACAAAACGATCCGCTACTATGATTCAATGGGGAAGCCGAACCAAAACGTGCTGGACGCCTTGGAGGCCTATCTGCGCGAGGAGTCGTTGGATAAGCGCAAACAGCCATTTGACACCAGCGGCTTCGTCAGCGAAAATGTCCCCAATATCCCACAACAATCTAATGGGAGCGACTGCGGTGTCTTCAGCTGTATGTTTGCGGAATATATTACCCGCGACGTCCCCATTACCTTCACTCAAGCCGACATGTCCTACTTCCGCAAGAAGATGGCCCTGGAAATCGCCGGCGGAGAGCTGTGGATGTAGGCGATTAGCCCCTTTATCAAATACTTGTGTCTAAACCCACACAGAAACTAATTCTAGTTTAGCACGGAGGCGAGGATCGATTCTTAATTTATTAATTAGTAATCTAACATATACTTTCCAAGCAAGAATTCGCAACAAGTGTTTAGCCATCAGTCGAACTTGATCTCGAATCTGTCTCAATTCGATTGAAACGAGTTCGACCTGACGTAGCTTACATGCGCATACTTGTTTCCATCTCATTTACCACATCGTATGAAAAAGACACTGGCGACCCCTTATGGCTCTTTTTATTACACAATAGCATCATGCATCCACTACTAAATGTAACATCTTTAAATATCAGATGAAACAAGAAGCATAGGCATCTGAATGTAAGAGAGGAACTAGTTTTTCAATAAAGCGCTAACAAGTAAAAGCAATGCAAAGGATGTATTAATTACAGATCTATTTACGCTTTTGGAAATGTTTGTAAATTTAAATAGACTAACATGAATTTAATTACAGCTATATTTACACTTTTGGAAATGTTTGTAAATTCGAATAGACTAACATGAATTTAGATTTCAACCTAAATTTTAGATTGAGCAAAGCTAAAAATATCCACTAGTAATTTCACACAAAATAACAAAATGCCCAGATAACGAGTACACTAATGGTTTGGGTGAACAACGCATATAGAATTCTACATCTAAACTTTTTTTCTTTTTCTTACTTACCTTTTTCCAATGAAGTCGAATATTAACCCATTTTCTGATTCTTATAAAAGATATTTAGAAGATCTTTTAAATTCTGATGCGTGTGTGAAATTTTAAGACAATCCCTCAGTAAAAGCACTATAAGCTAAGTTATTGATAATCGAAATCATTTTCGGGGCTTAATTCAGTATTTGTCGAATTTTGGTAGAGTTTATTAAGACCGAATTATTTTTTTATAGTACGTTTTTGGTTTCTAAAATCGGTGTTATTTTAATGTAGACTTTCAAAATTCTTGGAAATAAGGTAATTTTGGTAAAATTAAGGTACATACTGTAATATAATTTATTTTTTCAGATCAAACTATAATACAAAATATATCAAGTTGCTTAAAGGATTTTTGAACAGTGTATTTTATTCTTTTTAAAAAATCTAATTTCATATAGTATGCCATGAATTTCAAATATATGCCCGCTATATGTAGGTATGCTAACGGTATATCGCCAGTGTGACCCTGCCAATGGGTGAGTAGGAAAGCTAACGGTAAAGGGGAAGTGTGACCCTGCCGGAAAGCAGAAAGCGAAAAACGGGCCAAGGCGTCCGCCGTGGCGCAGCAGTTGCGAGAGAGGCGCGCGCGCGGTCACAACTCGGCGACGGCAGCGTTGGGGCATGCAAATTATGCCAATTAGCATCGACGGGAGCACGAGCAGTAGCAGCAACGCCAGCGTCGACAACCGAGCAGAAAATGCAGCAGAGCACAGGAGCGGCGACGTCATCGGCGGCAGATAGCGGGAAGGGGACGACGGACCTGCTGTTACTGTCCAGGTCCGGCGGCGACGGCGGCGGGAACAGCTGCTCCGGCGGATCCGGCGATCCAGCAGCGGTGAGCAATGTGATTGCGTTTGCGATTCGGCTTTCCGTTTTTCGCATGGAAATAACGTTTTTTTTATTTGTGCGTGTGTGTGTGACCCAGTGTGTGTGCGTGTGTATTTATGGTTTGTTTGGCCTGGCCAAAAATTATATAACTTTAAGCGGAGGCAGCGCACGCTTAGTGACCTCCCCACCCATCGCCCAGCCCAGTCCACCCCCGTCGTCCCACCACCCTGCACCCCTCCCACTGCACAATCGTCGTTGTGCGGGGGTGAGTGTGTGTGTGTGCCTGTTTTATTTTCCATGCTCCCCGGCTCGTTTGTTGTAATTTTCCGCAGCCACCGCGCATGCCACCCCCAGCTCATACCCCTCTCATGGAGCACCGCTTTTCACACCGAAAATATTTTCCGAATCGATCCAGATATTGTGGAAATTTTAAAGCATTTGCCTCTTTTCCCGTTTTTATTTCGAATCCCGTAGGATCGTGCGATTCCTAATTTGGCCAAATATACCTTTCTACTCAAATCAGTATAATATTTCCGTTTCCGATAATATTTCATATCGATTTTATAAAACTAAATCGGATTGCAATTCAAATTTGTATGAACATTTAAAGGTTCTACTCTTATACTTCGCAATGAAATGTTTTGAAAAAAAAGGCAATTTAGGGTTTGCGCATATATCACTCATACGTACTGTCGTCTTTGATCGAATAATTTATTCTGACTAACATTCATACAAAACGATGACTTATTTTTTTAGAAAGTTAGATCATTGTGCAACGCCAAAAACATTAAATGAAATCTTATCGTTTTCGAATACATTTATTGCACACCAGAATCTACTTTGTTAGACGGTGAAAGTACACAGAGTAACTTGAACGGAAATTTTATAAATATGGACCTAATATGTAAAATGCCAAACCGGATAAGTTTTGAACTTTTTTTTAAATAGATCATTAAAATGTTTTCTGTGCATCTCTTGTTAACGTTTCATATTGGCAACCACATTTATTTTTCTCTCTGGCTTGCCTAATTCTCGAAATCCGTGCATTTCCATTGCGGCGCCTGTTTGCTTTATTCTTGTTTTAATCATTTATTTATTGTGGAATGGCTAGGAGGCTCTGACCCAGTTGCTTGGCAACTTGTCTGCGCTTCGCCTGCTTTCGGTGTCTTGATTTAATCGCATCCCATATTCAATTTCATTCCTGACGCCCGACCAATTTTCCATTAATTTTTCCTAATTAATTTGACCATCTGGCAGTGGTTACGTCAGGCGAAGCTCATCTATTTTTGGCCCTTAATCCTTTGCTGCTTCGGAGCGGCGAAAAGAGAGCCTTTTACCAGGGTCAGAGAGAGCGGCTAGTGGCGGCCTTGCCACCCCCTAGATATCCTGTCCTATCCTGCCCCCCTCGCTAGCCAGCTCAAGGACTTGTTTATTTATAACTCCGGCTCATCCAATTTGGGATGCCATGCGGGACCTCATCCATTATTCAACCACTCGCTCAAATGGCGTATTCGCATAGTTTCCGCCTTTATTTGCTTCGCTTCATTGTTTTTCTTTTGTTTATTGATTTATTCACACCTCTTATTGTTTGTTTTCTTTTTACTTTATTTTTAGCGCTTTTTCGTTGTTGTATATTAACCAAATCGAAAACATAACCCACAATGTTTAGCCAGGTAAGGGCTTACCCTCATTTTCGCATTCTTCCATTGAAGAGGTAAAACCACTGTAGCTTTCAAAAAATAATATTAGGTCTAGTACTCGACCCATCATGATCACCCATTTATCAATATATCACATTAGGGGTAATTTTACACAAACATTAAACACAGAGCAATTACAGGAAAGAAATAAACTTTTTAACTTTAAAATTCGACACGTAGCCCAATTTATGGGACTATTAAAGATAACATTTTCTCGATTATAAGTTTAACAGAAAATAGTTTCTAAGTATTTTTTAATTTTTTTGTCAAAAAATATTACATAATAAAAAAGTTTTTGTCGTATTCCAGGAATGTTTATTTTCGACGTGACATTCTTATTTCGAAAATCGGTTCATCTGAAATCAAAAGTTAAAAAAAAACGACGTTAGTATAATTTCGCTGAAGGAAAAATCTTTAAAAATTACAAAAAAAAACATTTAAAATTATGTTTTTAACAACATTTAAAATCTTTCAGTTTTAATGCTCGTTAACTTAGAAATTTTTTTAAATTTTTCTCGAGAGGATTTACTAAAAAATACGCGATACAAAAACTAAATTTTTTCATCCTTCACAACTGTAGATAACCCCTTAAATAACGTTAATTTTTTCCCAAATGATGTTCCTAAACAGATTTACTTTTAAAGATAAAATTTCCTTTACTAAATTATGATTTTTTCAACCTCTTTAAAGTGTATACAGTGGATTTAGCCCCTAGCCTTGTACCAATGTAGCTTGATCTTAATGGCTTAAACTAATTACAGATTAGCACAACGATTAGCTCCAAGCAGCAAGTGGAGCAGGAGGATCCGAGGGAGCCGAAGGAGCAGGTCGCCATCCACTACCTGGCCAGTTTCCACGAGCTCTGCGTGGTCACCGCCCTGCTGCCGCTGGTGACGCTCTTCACGTGCTTCGTGACCGCCTACGTCTTCCAGTACGACGATGTACACGAGACACATTGCCGCGTGAGTTAATAGGCTCTTGGGGTTTCGGTTTCCCACATTAAGGGGGATTGCAATGTCCTGGGCAAGTCCGCGTCTGCGGCTAACTGCTCCAATCCCAGTTAATCCCGTGGCTAACAAATCACTGCCATCCCTGCGGGACTCCATGCGAGATAGGAGACACGCAAATCTACTTTTGTAAACGATTCGGTCACAAACAACACAGTGCTATTTACTTTGATTAATGTTCTAAATAAAATCGGTAGCACGGTCTTAAATTAGGTTCTTAAAAGGATTAATTTTATTTAAACCTACTTAAAAGTTACAACTCTATGTGGTTTTGTATATATTTTACATAACTCTCTTCCAACCAAAATCAAATTCAATTTGGAATAAACTATTTTAAAGTCTGAGTAAATATAATCCGAAACATATCAAAAGAGGAGTTTTGGTATATGTAAATCGGCAATGATGATTAATTTTATTTAAAATTATTTTAAAGCAGAAATGTTTAAAATTTTGTACATTAAATTAAAATTACCAGGAATCCATAAAAATCTATTCCAACCACTATCATACCTCAGTATTACAGAAAGCTTTTCAATTTTAACTAAACGGCATAAAGACTCTAAAGGGTGAGTCAATTTACTTCGAATCCGATCAGATAGATACTCGAAAAAACCTTTTCTACATATAAGCCCACAAACGAATAATGAATGCATTTTATCTACCTTGCTAGGTCTACAATATAATACCCTCGATAAGTGCAATTACCGGCGTAAGTCCACAGCGCTACTTCTGGCGTTTTAGCATTGCGCTGCACATCGGGCCGCGCATCCCCATCGCCTTCGTCTACAAGAACTACTACCGTTCGCAGCTGCGTCGGATTAGTCCCGCCCAGGTGCCGCAGACCAGCCTGCTCATCACGCTGATCCTGGTGCTCAACTGCATCGAGATCGCGGCCCTGGGCGGCGTCACCTATATATCGAATCGAGAAAACTACCGTAAGTCAAGTGCGATTTCCTCTGAACATCTTAACCGAATTCTCCTCCTCCATTCCCCATTGCAGCCGTTCACGAGCGCATCTTCATCACGTTCATGATATGTTCGCTGTGCTACATGCTGGCCACGATCAAGCTGAACGGCATCCTGAACGCCGGACAAACGCTGAGCGAGCAGCAGCGCCAGTCCATCAAGTGGAAGAAGATCCTCTTTGCAGTCTCCATCCTGAGCACCATCGGACTGCTGGTGTTCTTTGCCAAACACCGATTCTACTGTCACGACTTGGGTAAGTCAAATTATACATTTTAAGTACTACAAGTATTGCGTTTGCCCATTAATTGCTGATTTATCAAAGTCATGTTAAGATTCTAGTTTGTAATCTGCCGCAGACAAATAAAATAAGCTTGAACAAGTAGGTAAATGTTTCTTTCTCATTATGGTTTTTCCGCTAGACAAACTAGAATATTGCCTATAGGTAAAAAGGAAACAATTTAACTTTACGTTTAAGCTTAACATGACATTGAGAAATCGGCTTTGAAATTTTAAATTCCAAAATATATTTTGAATATTCCCAATTTATTTTGGATTTTTTAACACTCCTCTTGCAGCCTTCAGTTGGTTCGCGTTTTTTGAGTACTTAATCGCCATTGCCAACATGCTGTTCCACTTCACCATAATCTGGGACTTCCCCTCGCAGTTCATGATGATCGTGCAGGGACCCCGCGAGAATCTCGCCCAGTACTTGAGTACCAGGCCGAAAGTGGACTAGATTGGACTGGAATTCCCACCTGCATGCCACTTCTCCATGTGTAATTCCCATACGAAACGTACAATTAACGAACTTCTTCAACTTTAAAACTAAGCGCTTCCATACCGATCAACAACAAACATAGCATTCTATTCTATTTTCTTCGATTCTCTTTACACACTCCAAAAATAAACCAAAGTCGCAAAAACAAAACCCAGATATAAGGAAATGAAAACCGAAACGAAAGCGAAATGTTCCATAGTTCCACGATTAATATAAATATTAAATATACAAGTATGTAAAGAAATTTGCCAGATTAGAGGGCATACCGTTCTATGTACACATTCTAAATACATGAAATAAGTTACCTAAAGATTAAGTGCACCAAAAAAACAAAACCAACAAACAGTAAGGATAATACTGTAACAGTATACTGTAACAGTATATAATATAGTAGCCTAGTGGATCGCAGTTCGCCAGATCTCATGTCAATTTTGAATCGAATCCAAAGAGTCAGCAAAGGGCGACCAGCGTCAGCGTTTCATTTGATAGGCAGTAAAACAAATAGAAATCGTATAACTTACCACTTAGTACATATCGTTTATACAAGATGAAAACGAGCAACGGGAAATAGCCTCCTTGGGACAGGCCCTATTGGCCTCCCCAAATAGAACGCATTGTAACAGAATTCAGACAATAGAAAATAAGCTGCGACATTACGGGCAACGAACAACAACCAATCACAGATTTTGGGCCAGTGATGGGAAGTATCTAGGTAGTTTGTATCCCTTACCATAGATCCATCGGAAAATAGAGCTACAGCCTATTTAAATAATGGCATTCAATACCCGGTTACATAGTTTCAATACTTTACCATTACTTTAGTCCCCTTCTATGATGGGGATTGCAAATCGATTGCAAAATGGAACGAAAGGAAGGGATTTTTGAAAATTCGGAACCAAAGAGCTCCCTCAAGGGATTAAAGTCTGAGAAATTTCATTAAATCGTAAATTCAAATCGAGCAATAGGCTTGCATCTCGTTCAATTTAATGCAACAATAGTCCAATTAATCCAAGTTATATATTGTATATTTGTACCCTGTCTAGGTAACAAAACAAAAGCGGTACCTTTCCCATCACTGTGTATAAGATCGAAAAATAAAGATGAGACGAATTCCGATGTCCATGACGTCAGAATAAACCGATGTAGCGAATAAACAATTGTTCTTAGCCAACTTTAATAGCAAAATGAAATTTGAAAAACTTGAGAGATAAGAAATACAACCCAAAGTATTTGTTGTGTGATCGGGTGAAAACGAACATAGCTAATCGAAATATAAACCAGATTAAGGTCAATATTTTTTGCCGTAACGGAGATGCGTAGATATTTTTTCCCACAAGAGTATTTAGCTTAAATCGAAAAGAGTTCAAATTGATATTACTTATCTAACTTTGTACTATACACACCAGAGTCAAGCGGAAGCTTTTATTCCATAGGTAATATTATTACTACCATTATTATTATTGCTATATTATGCATTGTACTTGCGACAGATCGGCGTTATGAGAAATATCCTGAGTAACCAGGAGAAGCCGTTGTACTTGTATTCCCCCGAACAACGTAGCTAAACCAATGAAACAATTGTTAATTCTCACACGAATCGAAGTATATGTACGGATACCTACTTGAGCGATATATATATTCAAGCTCACGCCCACTCATGCGATACGTTATGCAATAGTTGAGTCTCCAGTTGCACCCGTTGCGATCGAGCAAAGATATATTTGAATTATTGTTGATGTTTACACGCTTACTCTATCTACGGCCCTATTAGCTCTGTCTCGCTCCGTTCCGATTTTCCAATTATGTGCCTCTCTTTTTCGCCCCCTAAGGATATGTACTTCCAGTTGCATCCGATGAGTATGGATAGATACATATAGATATATATATATATACGCGCTTTAAATATCGCTCACCGGCTAATTTTTAATTGTTTTGTACGGCAGAAAGCAGCAGCTCTGGGATGGTCACTTTTTAAAATGCAACTTTTTACCTTTGCATAACTTTTTAGGCGACACAACGTAAGAGAATTAATTACAAAATAAAAAACAAAATATATTAACTATGAAATATGTAAACTTTGTAGCTTCCTAATTTGAATAAAGATTAATACAACTCACACGAATTTCTTTCAGACCTTTTTCTCAAAACTGAGCGATTCAAATACTATTTACATTTATCTTCGAACATATTATCTTTAAGTTTATTTCATATAAGAAACACAAAACCCTACATTTGCAATGAATATTTTAAAATTATATTTCTGAACAAACAAAACAAACTTTTTACGATCACCAAATACTTTGTTATTAACTTTAAGCTAAATTATTTTGATTCATTTCCAATCCATGACTTAATAAAAATCTAATCGCTTTTTAATTTTGTTTTGGAAGCACTTAAGTATATTTCTTGTTTTATGTAGTTTGTAAATTATTTACACTTTATCGTAGGACATTACACATAAGTTTGGTGAGGGATGTAACATATAATATTTGCACATATATAAGGCCAAAAGTCCAAGAGTTGTATGCTGCGGTTTTGTTCGATTTGTAAAAGGAAACAGTGGTCAAGGTAAAAGCCGATTTGGGTCTGTGTTGGGTACAAACACCTGAACAATTGTGTGTAATAGTCAGTGCCTATATATATGTACAGCTATTATATGCAGGCGATACGAGGGGGTGGTGGCCTTTGTGGGCAATGGGAGAGGCTGGGGGAGGCATGGGTCGTGGGCGGTGTTAGCATTTGGCTTACAATTAAAATTCAGTACGAGTCTAAAAGCTACGGCCGATGTGGGTGTTTGTTTGGGTATGCAATGCTTAATATAAACACCTGAACAAAGGTGTCGGGCGTCTCCATGTGCGTGTGCTGAGAGGCTGTCCTTAGGTCTACGTGGTTCTTGCTATCTATTGTTGCTGTTACTGCTACTGTCGCTCATATGCAGTGCTGGCCGTCTATATCTAATCCGGCAGGTCGATGCTGACGAACGGCACCACCGGCTTAAGGATGTCGTTCTTGGCCCCCTTCTTGCCCTTCTTGTCGTGCTTCCCGAACTCGTGCAACTGCTCACTGGCCGCCATGCTCGTCGATGAGGAGGTGGCGTCCAGGGGAACGGACTGCCCGGCATTGCTGTGCGTCTCCGGGTGGTAGCTGATGTTGCCGTATTCCTGCAGGAACGGCATCGCCGACAGCAGAAACTGGCTGAAGGACTTGCGGATGCCGAACCACCACATGTTGCCGCCCTTAGCCGTGAAGCTGAGCATGATCAGCGCCAGGATGGAGACGAGCAGCGGTGAGAAGACCACGATGTAAGGAAACTTCAGCTCGCCGTCCAGCTTGTCACAGATGACCACCTGGCGGAATGCATGGGTTAGCATTTCCAGTTTCTCCAGAGGATTTTATAAGGACTCACCTGAAAGCAGAACAGTGGAAGCACTGTGCAGATGTTGCCCACCGCCGCGTTAAGCGCCGCCTTCTTTTGCTGCAGGGAGACCTCCGGCGTCCGCATCATGATGCCACAGAAGATAATGTTGTACAAGACGCTGACCAAACTCAGGCATATCACGATCCACATGGGCACGAACACCACGTCCCAGTTCCAATAGACAAAGCGATCCAGTTTCAGCGGCAGCGAAACGAACTGGAGCGCGTTGACGGCCAGGAAGAGCTCCAGCTCGAAGGAGCGATCGTGCTTGACGGCCCACACACAGGCGCCCACGCTAACCACCGATCCGAAGATCAGCGGGATGAAGACCAGCACCCAAAGGTGGCGATCCGAGGTTAGCTTATCGCAGGCCAGCAGCTCGAACATCAGCAGGATCAGGTGCAGGGCCAGCGATATGAGCATCGCCTTGAACTGCGTGTAGGCGTCGCCTTCGAGGCGATAGTGCGGATACCGGCACCACACGATGGCGCCCACGATGGCACCCAGGATGGCGGTGCACTTCCATATCCACAGCGGTGTGAAAATCGCCCAGTAAGGCCAATCTGCGGGAATGCAGACGGTTAGACAATTAGCTGCGACTGGTATTAAATCGTCAGATTCCTCCCATTTCCACTATCATAATATCTCGACGTGCAAGAAATCTTCCAGATAGATTTGGAAAAGATAGATAGATTTTATAGCTACCTCAACTTCCTTATGGGGATTACTGAATTCACTAACTACTATCGTCTCCCTATGAAATAGTCACCCGAAGTGGGTGGGGGACATAAGAACTGATGCTGAGTAAATAATATTGTAGCGTGGCCGCTGATTAACTGGGAAACTGGGGTATTCCGCTGAATCACTTTCCGATTCTCGCGTTGACGCCCCCAACTAGTTCTAATGCAGACCTTTAGGATATCCACTTATCATTAGTGAACTTAGCAAAAGCCATTTGCTAAGAAGATCCATTATAACTGGATCCATATACCAATTTATGACTGAAGTCCCTTTGTTATTTCCGGGACGAACGATGCTGTGTGGCTTCGGCACAGATGCATCCGAGTAGTACCCACCTATGAAGTTGTCCAGGCGCAAGGCAAATAGCGTGACAAAGGTGAACAGGCTGCAGTGGACGATGAATTTGCTGCAAGAGAACATGGCGGGTTAGGGATTGGAACTCCTCCGCAATCCGGACCTCCGCTGCCGATTGCTTCTCACCAGGGATTGAAGTCGCGGAACAGCGATTCCAGGTTCATGTTGCTGGCGACACCATAGAGATATAGAGATGGCGAACTGGACACTGGGCACTTGGTAACTGAACACTAGTTGCTCATGCGCTCCCGCCGCACTGCGTCCGCTCTGGTCGGGGAATCCGATTCACGCGGGGACGGGGGTCTGTGGTGGGGTGGGGGGCAGCGAGTATTCAGCGCCTGGCGTCGATCTTTCTTTCTTTCCGTCTCTTTGTTTTATTTACACACTTTGACTGGCATACTTTTCGAGTTGAGTTGTCTTGTTGTTGTCCAGAGACCCGATAACGATAGCGATAGGTTGCCGATTAACGATTGGTTTGATAGATACAAGAGGTAGCTAGATTTCAAGCTAAAAATAGCTTAATTTCGGACTCTTGAGACCCTCTCCAACACTGGCAGCATGGTGGCCGACGAGGAGCAACGAAATCAGGATTTGAATGTGGAAGAGGAGCTGCTGCAGGATTCCGACTGCTGCGGCAACGGCTGCACCAACTGCATCCTGGACCACAAGCCCCGGCCGAGTAAGCGCGTCCTGTTGGCCGGCAAACGCAACGTGATCCTGAGCTACACGAAATTCCGATTGTTGCGGCGGGAAACCTTGGTTGAATCTAAATCGGAATCTGGTGGACAGGTGCTGCTTCTACACTTTGGCCACGCCCCCGAGGAAACCGAGGCGGAGGACACGGTGCTGGACATCCCACCCGGACACCACGTGATGCTGCGCATTGGCTCCCTGCTGCGTCCCTATTCGCCCTATTGGAGCGACTTCCTGGCCAGAGAGTTCCGGATTCTGGTGAAGCTGCAGGCGGGGGGGCCCATGTCCCGGCACCTGGCTACAGTGCAGCCCAACGACCTGCTGGAGTTCCGTGGTCCCATTGGACAGTACACACATGATCCAAAGACCGCCAAGTGCATCTATATCCTGGCACAGGGCGTGGCCATTGCGCCCACTCTACCGCTGGTGCGCCAGGTGCTCGAGAACGAGGAGGACATGAGTCGTGTGTGGCACTTGGTGTGCGCCCGCGACCTGCAGCACGTCTACTTCCGCGAGGAGCTGCTGGAGTTTGTCCAGTATTGGAACTACAGGAGCTGCCTCTACCTGCCCCATCAGCAGTGCGACTCCATCGCTTGCCAGGATGCGGGATACTGCGCCCCGGAGTGCTTCCATTTCCGCCGAAGCCTCCGCTACAAGGAGACTGCGAAGGTAGCCCGATTGGATGCCTCTGGACTGGCCACCTACCTCAATCCCTCCATTCCCGGACAGCGCGTCCTCATCGTGGCAGGCGATTCAACCTTCCAGAAGGCCATGGCCCAAATGGCCACCCAATCCTTGGCCCTGGATCCAGCCAACGTCTATTTATTGTAAATACAAAAGGAAATTGTAAGTGTCGTTCGCTACTTTTAATTTTTGAAAAATTAACAACAGTCAATTATCTAACTTATTTTAGCAAGACTTTTAATTATTTATCTTCCGCTTCTGGGGTGATGGCAATCTAACCTAATTTCATTTTAAACTTACTTGTTTGGTTACTAAACATTGCTGGTCTCAAACTTTTTATAGTTAAAAATTCATTTTTATAATAATGTAATGTATAATGTTTCGGGGTTTTAATCAAAACTCTGGGAAATAGTGGTCGAATGTTGAAATTTCAAACCTAGTTGAATTCGTTATACAATTTTCAATCAATTATTTTAAATATTTTTTTAAATATCGCAAAAAACTTGATGGTACACCTTGGTACACAAAAAATATTTAGTCAAAAACCCGGAAAAAAGCAGCTCGATGTTGGAACGCCACCACATCTCGTTGAATTCGTTATAAAATTTTCATTCGACTGTCGTTCACAGTTGGAAAATCTTACCATAGACTTATTTTCGACAAAAATCATAGTCGACTTGGGATGAATAAATAATATGAAATGTTAGAGAAATAACAGCGAGATATACGCATAATTCTTCGAAAACAGCAAAACGACTGTTTCAAGTCTCTAGCTGTTTAACTATGCTCGAAAACGGTATAGAAGTAGATGGGTATGGCAATATCAACTCACAACTGTTAAAGAATATATACGGTTGGACGAAACAAACTTCTGACCAAAATAATAATAAATCCCTGGAAGGTTATAATAATTTCTATTACTGTTTTCCTTAGTGGATGACTTTTTATTAAAAAAAAAAAAGCAGAAATACTCAATAATCACGATATCAGCGCAATACGTTTTCGAATATATCATAGGTTTGTTTTTGGCCAAGCGGCCTGCGCATCTAGCACCACGGATTCGGCCTTCTCCGGCAATTGTGGCGGCTGCGGCGGTTGTGGTATCAAGTGGGCATACTTGGCCAGGTAGGGAGTCAGCAGCTCCATGGGCAATGGGAAGATGATCGTGGAGTTCTTCTCCGCCGAGATGCTGCTCAGGGTTTGCAGGTATCGCAGCTGTGGGAGAGAGATTCCATCCAAGGATGGTATTCAGAGTTCCATAGGTAGATATGCGAGGATAACACCCACCTGCAGAGCTGAGGGACTGGAGGAGATGACGTCTGATGCCTCCTTGAGGGCAGTGGCGGACTTCTTCTCACCCTCGGCGGCAATCACCTTGGCACGGGCATCCCGAGCAGCCTCCGCTTCGGCGGCCATCGCTCGCTGCATGGATACGGGCAGGGAGACGTCCTTGCTGCAAGCGAGTCAAGGAAAAGAGGTTTTGTTTTAAGAAAATAATCCTTTTCTTGAGTATATATTTTCTATTCGTTTATAGAGCGATTTCAACAAAGTATTTTGTAGTTGAAGTCAAAAATCGCTTTCTATAATTGTTTACAGGAAAACATAAATATTCAAGAAAAGAATTTTTTAAAATGATAAATCAAACAATGGTTATCCAACAATGTTCAATTCGGTGACCAGTTATTTTTGTACATCCTAAATATTTGTGGATATTGCTTTTGATACTCTTGATACAAGTTAAAGCGAGCACGAAAGACACAAAAACCTTGACTTCGACAAAGATTTTCTTTTTTTTTCTTTGCATTTTTTCGGTTTGAAGACGATAAGAAAAAGAATTTACAAAAGGTGATAAAGCTTTGGCAAAAATTCAAAGTTCATATTGTTTGGTTTTTATGCCGAAAATGAATGTTTCTTGTGAATATAATTTTCTCCTTTGTTATGATATGATCAGATGAAGTATCTTAGCGTAAAATATGTTACGGATGCCTATTTAAATACCACTTACATTTCAACACGCTCCACCATGACGCCCCAGGGCTCGGTGGCGTCATCCAAAGTGGACTGCATGGTGTGGGCGAGGATCTCGCGCTCGGTGAGCAACTCGGAGAGATTGCGGGTGCCAACGATGTTGCGCAGGGTGGTGGCCGCCAGCAGGCGGGTGGACATACTGTAGTCCTCCACCTGCACCACTGCGTAGAGGGGATCACTGATCCGGTAGTAGACCACCGCGTCCACGGTGACCGTCACCGAGTCCTTGGTCAGCATCTCCTGCTGCGGCACATTGAAGGTGACCGTGCGCAGGTCCACCTTGCGGTACTCATCGATGCACGGCAGGATGAAGAACATGCCCGGACCACGAGCCCCGCCACTCAGCCTGCCCAGCCGGAAGATGATCGCCCGCTCGTACTCCGCCACCACCTTGAAGCAGATGAAGATTGCGATGGGCGAGGTTATGATGAAGATGATCACGGAGAAGAAGGTGACCACCCACTCCATGATTCCCCTCGGCTCGTTCTCGGCTGCAAGCAAATGGTATGAAAACATGATAGATTAGTTCCGGAACTATGTATATAATGTGGTCTTTTGCTATTTGTGGGATTCTAATTCTGATCATCCATTTTAAAAATTTTTATTTTACCTAACTATCGTATATTGACCAAAAGGTGGAACTTAAATAACACCCTCTTCCTGTATTTACCGAATTGAAGCTCTTGAGTTATGGCGCTTCCATTGTGGAAGAGATGAGATAATTTCGCAATTCCGGAAAGTCATACCTACTTGAGCTAACTTATCTTTGATTAATTGATTCTTAAAGCAAATACTCCAAAATAAGTATGGATCAAAAGGTTTTGTGATAATAAAAGGTACGAAATTGTTATATTCAATTTTACTCACTGAAAATAATAACAAATGGAATTTTAGGTTTACTTAAAGAATATTTAATAAAAAATAATTAAATACGTAAAACAAGTATACGAAGATACAAGAAAACAAGAGAGAACGCTATAGTCGGGTGCCCCGACTATCAGATACCCGTTACTCAGGTAAAGGGAGTGCGAGGGAGATGGAGATAGAAACTTTGATCACGCATAACTTTTTAACGAATGGTCCGATTTGAAAAATTTCTTCTACATTTCGATAGGTATTGATAAACACAATAAAACTGCATTTTTACTTTTCCGAAATATTTAAATTTTTAAAATCGTATATAAGCGATTGTGGGCGTTAAAGGGGGCGTGGCACCATTTTGAAACAAACTTGCGCTGCGTAGGAACTTCTAAAATCTACATGCAAAATGCCAATCTTCTAGCTTTTATAGTTTCCGAGATCTCAGCGTTCATACGGACAGACAGACAGACAGACAGACAGACAGACAGACGGACAGACGGACATGGCTATATCGACTCGGCTAGTGACTCTGATCAAGAATATATATACTTTATAGGGTCGGAAACGCTTCCTTCTAGCTGTTACATACTTTTGCACGAATACAATATACCCTTTTACTCTACGAGTAACGGGTATAAAAACAAAACTCAAATAAAACTGAAACTGAACCGCGGGGATAAATACCAATCAGCCATAACCAATTTCTTATCTGAGAAATCAATATGCACTGTGTTCGATTAAAAATTCAATTTATATTGCAACTGATACAGGTCGATTGAGGTATGCCTCAATAAAAGCTTCAAACTAGAACGCGTTACGCATTAATGAGGATTAGGTGGGATAGTGATAAGAACTAAATTGCTACTCTGTTGAACAAAAAAAAGACTCTGAACAAATATCTACTCCGATAAAGAAAGGTATTTCTAGCGTCACTCACATTGTCCATTATATTTATATTTTTAGATCTCCTATCAATTATGGGGGAGAATAATTATATCGTTGCCTTTTGACGCTTTTACAAAATTGTCCGATAAGGTTTTTCAGGGTTATTGATATCAAATTTTGCATGTCCAAATTATTTGTCAATGCAAGCGCTCTCGCGGTTAATTGTACACCTCTTTTTAATCTAATCTTAAGCAGCCTTTCCAAGAATTTCGCTGGAAATGAGTATCTCGTGTCGGTTGATTTTAACTGATTAAAACTGAACAGTACCCAAATATGGACTAATTTTGGGTACTGTGCAACTAATCGAGAGTTAAAGCAATAATTAAATATCTTTGACTAAAGGACGTCTTCAAAAATAATTATTATACCATGACTATACCTATAGAATGTATGAATATTTTAAAGACTGGATCAAATCAGGACACGTTTCAGATTCTATCAAATCTAGCTTGATAAAGTATTGGAGTGCTTACATGTCTTGAAGCCACGGTACTGCTGAGTGGGACCGGGAACCCGAGCTGGCTGCTCGGGAGGCACTCCACCGGGACCCATGTTGATCATGTAGGCCGTGGAACTGGTCGGACCGGAGTTCCGCATGTCCTCGTAGTTGGCGTACACTGGCGAATCCTGCTGCTGTGGCTCCATCTCAGGGTGTGCTATGTTCCTCTCCGGCCAGCTGGGTACTCGAAACTGTGGCAAAAGTCAAACTGAATACTAAAAAGCATTCTCATGTGATAAGAGCGCGCAGTTCTCTCATGTACGAGTATCGCATTGGCTTTATCGCTTTACAGAGCTTCGAGCGGCTCAAATGTGCGAGGGCACATTGAGAAAAAAATCGTAAATAAAGCCATAAATAAATCAAAACGCGGCTTATGCCAACATTACAAAAATCGAACCTCAATCATTGGTTTTTATTAGAGCAACGGAAAGTGAGCTACGAAAAGCTAAATATTCATCTAAATTTTAAAGATATCTTTGAAATCGACAAGAAAACTTCGACTTTAAATAAAATTAAAGCCAAAATGTAATTCCTATATAATGATTTTAATATTACAAGTCCATAATTAATTATTTAATAATAAGTGTATTAGTTAGTGTAAATATATCCGGAAAAACGCTAATTGTTCCAACTCAAATCTTCATTTTCCATCCTTGCAACGGAAAATAAGCTACGTTAAGTTGAATATTCTTAGAAACTCAAAATATGTTTTCCAAATCAAAATGAAAACTTCGAAAACTGGTAACACCAACTTCTACTTTTAATATTGGGATTTGAGTATTGATTATCCATATTAAAGTCATTTAATCAAAATCTTATTTGTGCAGTGTAAATTTATCCGGGGAAACGAAGAACCCTCTCCAAGACCGGCCTTGCAAATCGAGAGACGTGGGCGACTGGTGAATCACTCTGCTCCGAAAGAAACCCCAACTTGACTGCAGTCGTACATGTAGATTATTCCGGCCATCGATCAATGAAAGCTCTTCTTATCAGTGCGCAGAATATCTATATTTAAATCAATTTGTAATCTCAGCCTGAGTATAAAGACGCCGTTTTACTCGCGGGTCAAAAGTTTAGGCTCGGCCAACCGATTGAGCCGTGACTCAGGCGACATCGGCTTTATCTGCCACATTTGTTGAAGTGGTATGCAAATCGGAATCGTTTGTGTCACTTAGATAAGCTCAAATTGTATAAGTGTACATAAGCATGTTTCAAATTAGGGGATTAACCGAAAAACGAATGTGTATCTTGAACAAATTTAATTTTATTTTATTTTTAAGTGTGAAAATGTCGTTCCCTAAAAACAATATTATGTTAAATTAAGACAAGCAATTGATGTGTTTTAACGCATTTTACCGAAATGTAATTTAATTTTTAAAGATTTTATTCCCAACCGGTGTTTTGAATCTTAACGTACAACAGAAATGGTTTTTAATATTGGTTATTTTAAAAGTAACGTCTCGTCTAAAATCTAAGATAAATCATGGCTTTACAACAATAAACAACAAGAAATAATTACCTACGAACCTTGGAATAACCTGGTAGATCAACTATATATTATCAGCAGATATATAACACTCAATTAGATGGTATGAAACATAGTCGGTGGCGAACTGCCAAGTTAGATTCTAAGAAAAAGTAAGTGCAAAAAACCTGTTTGAAGTGAAAACCTCTAGATTTCTGTGTTACCCCAGCCGGCATTGTGGAATACCAACCCCATGCTGACTCATTTTCCGGGGTTTTCCCGGCCAGTTTCGCTCTCTGCCGCTGCTGCCGCCGCCGTTCTGCTACAGCAGGATGCCCACGATGTCGTCATCGTCGTCCGCTGATCGCACTGCAGCTGCTCCGGTCCGCCGCTGCTCCTGCTGTCGCCGCAGCTCGCAGCGATGCAGTGCCTCCAGATATGGCTGCAGCACCGACATCGAGCGTCACTGGTGGTGTTGGTGCTGGTGCCGGTGAAGGGGCGTGGCAGGGGCGGGCGGATGTTGCTGGTGTTGCTGCTGATGTTGCTGATGTTGTTGATGTTGCTGCTGTTGCTGCTGCTGGTGCTGTGAGTATGCATGGGTGTTGAGGAAGGGCGTCAGCAGCTCCATGGGCAACGGAAAGATGATGGTCGAGTTCTTCTCGGTGGAAATGCTGCTCAGGGTTTGCAGGTATCGCAACTGTGTGGGAAATGTTTAAGGCGATTTTAAAGAGTTTCAATTACCAATAATGAGAACAGCACACACTCACCTGCAGGGCGGATGGACTGGCCGAGATGATCTCGGAGGCTTCGCGCAGGGCCCGCGACGACTTCATCTCACCCTCGGCGGCGATCACCTTGGCCCGCGCCTCCCTCGCCGCCTCCGCCTCGGCGGCCATCGCCCGCTGGAGGGCAGTGGGCAGGGAGACGTCCTTGCTGCAATGGGATCATGGATCAGTGGCCTACAAGGACCGGAGATCACTACTCACATCTCCACGCGCTCCACCTTGACGCCCCAGGGATCGGTGGCCTCGTCCAGGGACATCTGCATGGTGTGCGAGATGGTCTCGCGCTCGGTCAGCAGCTCGGAGAGATTCCTGGTGCCGAGCACGTTGCGCAGCGTGGTGGCCGCCAGGAGGCTGGTCGAGTGGCTGTAGTTGTACACCTGGATGACGGCCTTTAGAGGGTCACTGATGCGATAGTAGACCACCGCGTCCACCGTGACCGTCACCGAGTCCTTGGAGAGCACCTCCTGCGGCGGCACGTCGAAGGAGACAGTGCGCAGGTCCACCGGATAGTAGTCGTCCACGCAGGGCAGCACGAAGAAGACACCCGGACCGCGGGCTCCGCCACTGCGCAAACGGCCCATCCGGAAGATAACCGCCCGCTCGTACTCGGAGACCACCTTGAAGCAGATGAACACCGAGATGGGGAAGGTCAGCACCATTATCAGCACGGACACCACCGTGGCCAGGATCTCCACGCAGCCCATGTCATCGTTTTCAGCTGCAGAACAGAATCGTTTGAAATGTGGTTAAAATAAACTTTTTCCAGAATCTCCAGAAATCTAAGCTACTTTACATTGGGCAATTGCATTACTTATGTTATTGACACAAAAAAATATATGTTTTATATCCCTAAAGGAGACATTTCTGACTATATAAAGTCTATATATTCATGATCACGATCATCAGTCAAGTTGATCTAGACAAATCCGTCGTTCGCTTCTATTCATTGTTTTAAAGCCAATACGCATAAAATTAAATTTTATATATAAGGGTTTTATAGAATAATAGATTAAGTTACTTTTATTCTTATTTGCTCAATATTTAGTACTTTTGATTTGATTGTTCTTGATTTAAAGAATAGTCATTTTGGGCTTGTCGAAGTTTCTTGTTTTGTTCAAACAATGATTCCCTTTAGTGCTTCTGTTTAAATTGTTATTGATTTGATTTATAGAGGTTTACTTTTATGTGTGAGTTTTGAAAAGTGAAAGTGAACAAATATTTTGAAAATGTCTTCATTAATTATCCTTTTCAAATGTTGTTTTGTTTGTTTATTCCCGCGGGGATTGGGCAAAGTGGTTTCTCCGTTTCAATTGCGCCAGCATATTCCACGGTTCTGTTTTGGGGCAATTAACTCGTACAAATTGCTTTTGATCTAGTACAAATGCCATAAATTCCGTAAATACCCCAAACGGTTGCCTTGGATTGGTTGGTCCGAGCACTTTTTATGCTTGACTAACTATGTACATGGACTGGGGATTTTTGTTTATGGCTACAGACCTCGTGTTCGTGAATATGATCTCTGATTTTTCGGCTTTTCCCTTTCTGTTTGGCTTTCTCCACCAGCAGCTACATAGCTGCTGGAACTATTTATTTCCAGGGCCGGCCGTGTTTACCATGTCTGCTCTGTTTACCTTACGCTTTTCGACAATACGATTTATATCACGGATACGTACCGGTTCATGTTCATGTGCCTGGACCTGGTGCGTTCGATAATCGCTATTTATTTTTATATGTCGGCGCACAGTTTATATTGCATACTTCATAGGTGGTCGCGATCGATACGATTCAATAGGCCATGGTGCCATGATGCCATGGTGCCATGGTGCCATGATGCCCCGATCTCGATCCCAATACTGCCGCAATTTGCTGTTCAATGAAATGATTCATTGGACTCGCAATCGCCTCACCTCGCGCCTTGATTATGATTTTATATCGCATTAATCGCACATTTGCCTGAATTATGAATTATTCTCGGCTGCTGGGGCACTAGAGTTTCGTGAGGTCATGTGTGCGGTATATAGTAATGTGAACAACTATTTGTATCTGGCAGTCCATGTGCGTGTATTTTTATGAGCTAAACAAAGCGCCAAGCGAATATTTTGGCTATATTTGACTGGAAATCCGGTCCAGAAATCAAGGAAGTCTTGGCATATTTGTTTTTTTTTTTTGTTTTACTTTTTTATGAGGCTAAGAATATATGCATTTAATAATTACAATTTCATAGTTTTCGCAAACAAACAATGCCAGATTCAAATATTAATTTTATGATTTCAATTAACTAATATATACTAATTAAACGTTCAATACTCAAAGTAATCTGCTATTAATTTCTTTTATAATTTTAGTTCAATATTTGAATGAAAATTTTGGAATATATTTACTTTCTTAATTTTCATAATTTCTTTTAACATATTAAAACATTAAAATAGTTATTAATGATAAATCTTTAACTAGACAAGTTCAAAAAATTTTTAAATAACATTGTTTATTCCCAGATAATATATAATCGATTGTTATAGTTTTAATATTTTTTTCGTTCGGAATCATTTTAAATTTCCAGTCTGCCATATCCTTTTTGTTTTTCTTTTCCAAATATTATGCGGCACAAAAAAAAAAGATGTTCAACTTGATCACATATTTTCACTTTTTTTCTGAAAATATTTTCACTTATTTCGATACCAGGTTTTGTTTAATTCGAAAAACATTTTCATTTTTTTCGATATCAAGTTTCGCTTATCTGATATTTTTAAAACTTTTGGGCATTTAGATGAAATACTGAGTTCTTTAATTTTAATGTTCTATAATAATGAGCTTAGCCCCTTTTGGTGTCTTACAGGTCTTGAGTCCCTGATAGGGCAGGGATGTGGAGGGCGGTATGTGGACCGTGTGCTGCGAGGACTGGTGCTGCGGAGTGAGCGGGAAGGTCTCCGTGGAGGAGGAGGCCTGTATACCACCCGATCCCGGCGATCCGATGTTCAGGCGCGCGCGATGCTGATGCGGCGAGGCAGGATGCATTGTGAAAGGAGTGGTTCGCGGCGTATCGTGGCACCGATCGGATCGGATCGGATCGAATTCAAATCCACGGCTGGTCCAACGGAAACTGATCGATCGAGAACTGCACGCGTTCAGCGCACGTTTTCAAATGAGCACGCCAAGAATCAACAACGCCAAACGCAGAGGCCTAGACAGGAAACATCAAACTAGTCTATTACTAGATGTTTCGACGTAAGAATACCATTTCATCCCATACAGGCACATACATACATATTTAGGTAAAGATAATAAAAATAATAATAATAAAACTTTACTCGAAGTAAGTTCAAAGCTAAGATGTTATTGAATAATTTGTAAATATAAAATTTAAACCTTATTCATGAGTTTAAAAAGGGTATAGTCAAACAATAACTTTTTCCTTAAGGAAGAACAATCTAATAATTTGGATAATAATTTATAGGAGGTAAAATAATAACTCAGATCCAAAAGTCGAATTTAAAAAAGTCTTTTCTCTTGTCTCTTTCTTTGTCGAATATTTCAAAGCTTTATTTCGTGTATGGAAAATGTTTTGAATTTTATTCTTCAATTATGCGAATTTACAATCAAGCGGTAGCAAATTTTGTTTGTTTTTGTATCGGTATCCTATTAAATATCCCCTTTAAAATATACTACTAGCTGTTTTTGAACTCCGCATGAATATAATATACCCTAGATTTTCTGGTTAGATGGGTATTATTAACTTTATCCTAGACAGAGGTAAAAGCAGCGTCAGTCGTTCGGCTCATTTCACACATTCTCGTGGCCGAACGATTTTTCCGCTTTTCCGCCTTTCCCTTTACACACACATATACAATCATGCACCCAGAATTGATCGTTTTGTTGTTAATTTAGTTCTTTTTGTTTAAATTATGGAAACGAACTACGAACAACTTCGCAGATGGAGCTCATTTATAAACCACTTCATTGCGCGCATTCACCAGATCTTTCGGTTTATTTTGTTTTGTTTTTGGATGGTTTGCTTGTGGGGAGGTGGGTGTTTGCATGGAGATTCCTCGATGCTCATTTGTCTGAACGAAGACGCGAGGAGCAGGCGCTGGTGATCTATTATCGCCAAAGGTCAGAACTCCGGTGGAACAACAATTGGGGCTCTCAAATCACCACGGGCATCGGGCTCTGGGGAGTGGATCTGGAATGGATTGCGTCCTCCCGCACATAAAGCATAAATGAAGACATTAATGGGTTAGACAGAAGATTTACTACAAACAATTTTAAGGCACATCACAGCGCCCAATAAATTATAAAGCTCTTCAATATTTAAAAAAATGTTTTTCAAAATAACTTCGAGCATAATTGTTAGCGGAGAAACTAAAAACAATTAACAGCTGAAACTAATAGATAAAACGTTTTTTTAAACTCATTCATTCTTCACTTTTTTTGGTCGCTTATAAAATTTAAGCCCTTTCAAATTTGGTTATCTTATTTAGTTTTTTGTGTGTTCCTTTTTATTCAAAAAACCTTTTTAAAGTAAGATCAATTTCCCTTCCAGAAATCAATTTGTTTAGAATGTACTAGTAGTGCTTCTCGGGATGTCACCGGTTAAACAAATATTTATATGATTCCCATTACTACCGGTTTTGTTGAAAGCCGTTTTTAACATTTCCATGAAGTGGGTTTGTCCTGTGTCGCCCTAATACTTAAAACTTTGTTTACAAATACTTTGCGAAAAAGTTTCGTGTTTCCCATGGACCGAAAAAAAGTTTTTACTAAAACGATGAAATGCAACCATAAACTAAGCAGAGAAATACATAATAATAATAGGGTCCAATGTGTAATATATATAATTCGATTTTAAAGAACTACATTAGTAAAGTTAAATCTATTATGATGTATTAACTCATTGGTTAGCTAGTCCTATCATAGTCGGGTTCACTCCCCAGGGAGTGTAAGTGTGATTAAAGTTAAGTGGAATAAATCGTTGCGTTATAGAAGAAATTAAAATATAACCAACGTATGACCTCGAGTAATTCAATAACACTACAATCATTGGTGCCATTATAATTTCATATACTCATTTGCATACCCTATTATAACATTAGTCAGAGGGTGAACAAAACCTGTCCGACCTTATTAAATATTCTTGATCAGCATTACTAGGCAAGTTTCTAACCGTTTTCAAGCTCATTTAGAAATCAATTGTTGATAAGTGGATCGTTTATTCTACAAAGTTTGATGCTGAAACAATATTATTATAAAGAAATTCTACTTAATGCCGGCAAAATATGATTAGTTTGCAAAATATTAACAGCAATATACATTCAGTTTATGAGGAATCAGCGATTTTCGCAAAGCAAGGCGTGCTTGCAGAAATTTCATAACTTTTGTAAAGAAAAAAAGAATTCTCCAAAACAATTCAATTTTTATGCCTTTCGCTTTATTATAATTGTTTCTCTGATAACAACAAGTAATATATGTATATATATATATTTATAAAGCAACAAATTTGCTTGTATCAGGCCGATTGCTTGTGATTTTTTGGTTTTTGCTGCTTTTTTATTGAGTGTTGTGTTGCGTAAAGTAAATGCAGAGAATTCATCTCGTAAGCTTCGAAGATGGAGAATATCATGTGTAAAGGTGTATATATTTAGAGCTGATTTGTAAGGCACATTACGGCTAGATTGTGGATTGAGTGATTGCTAATTGCGCTGATGAATGGGAGTCCGATTCGATTGGTCGCAGCCTCCAATATACAGCAGCTGGTGTACATAGTTTTAAGTAGATATACAGGGTATATAAGTGTCGGTTTCAATTTGATTGGTAACAAATGCTTGACATAAATCCAAAATGCTTAAAATTAAAAGCACGCTCCAATTTAGCGTAGAAAATCAGTTGGTTTAAATTCAATTTGGCCGCTCGGAAGGGTCTTCTTAGCCACGCTACAGTGCGAATCCCTTTCTCCTTTAATTGACTGATATTGACTGATCAATATCCTAGTTTTCTTTCATCTTTCCACCTCCTCTTCTTCTCACTCTGCTTTCGTTCCGGAGGCCTTGCATTGAATGCAAGCGCCTAGTCGACGTACAACTTAAACAACTAATAATCATCATCCGCGGGCGCCGGAGGAGGAGCACCCGGAGAAGTGGCCGCCCTTGCTGCCTGTCTGCCGTCCTGGCCTTCGTCAGTCGTTGTACATGCCGTCCACCAGGAAGTCCATGCGGCGGTAGTGCCTGGTGCTCCACATGTCGCGGAAGCGGCGGTACAAAATGGTCATCACGCCGATGGCCAGCGGCACAGTCAGCAGCACGGTCAAGATGGGCACCACATACCCAGACTGCTCGCGGTGACTGCTTCCAGTGAGCTCCTGCACCAAGGGCTCCGACGGCTGTGCTTGGGTGGGCTTGGTTGGCTGGCCGGGCTTCTCCTGACTCTTCTGCTGCTCCAGCTCGCTCTCCAACTCCGGGTGCGTATTCATGCTCTCGGTTAAAGTGGGTTTCTTGGGCTTCGGCGTGGTTGTAGTGGTGCTTGTTGTAGTTGGTTTAGTAGTCGTAGTCGTTGTCGTGGTGCTGGAAGAAGTGGCGGTGCTGTTGGGCGAGCTGCCCGCCTTGGTCACGTCTCGCATAGACTGACCATCGCTGACTATGGCTGATCCTGCAGCTGGCTTGGCTGTGGTCGTGGTCGTGGTAGAAGTGGAAGTCACTGCGCTGTTGGGGGTGGCCGTCTTGTTTCCCTTGGAGCCCTTCTGCTCCACCGTTGAATTTGAAGCTGGGGGCACGCTAGTGTCTGTGCGCTTTCTGTGCTTGTCTACACCTTCCGCTTGGGCCGTCTTGTCGGTGTCCTCTTTCGGCTTCTGGACGACAGGTTCCTTTGGCTGCGCTTGGCCTGCAACTGGTGGAGTTCCCGATTCCGATCCTGGAACCCCCTTCCCCGCCACGATGTCCTTGGGGGACGCGGCAGCCGAAGCATTCTGCTGGCCGGCAACTAGGAGCAGGCCGCTCAGCAGCCAGATCAGTGGGAGCAGCTTCATTGTCACCTATTTCCTAAATGTCGCCTATCTTATTTCGCATTTACTGACCGAGATCTGGGAAAACATCGATAATTGCTTGCATCGAAACCGCGTACCGATAATCTATCGACTACAGATTATCAGTGCTGAGAAGTTGTACCTGGTCAGGTACACGTTAAAAAATAAGTACTTTGGAAGGGTGAAAGGATTAGGAGTAAAATTTGTAATATTTTAAATGTTTAAAAGCCACCTACAAATCCAAAGCCCTTTTAGGTAGTGGTCGAAATAAATAACCATGGTCAATTTTAAAATATTAGTAACAGTAATTTCAAACTACCACAAAAAATAATAAATAATAATTGCACCGTGTTAGTGTATACTTTCGGAATAAATAAAAACATGAAGATATGCTTAATTTAAGGTACAAATAACTACACATTTTTAGCTGGGTACGCACCTAGCTAGTAATATTCAGGCATTTTCCAGCACTGTCCCAATCGCCAGATGGCAACGCTGGACAGAGGCTGCTGACGTTGCCACTTGCCAGCTGAGCCCGTCCGTGTTTGCCTGCGTGTGAGTGTGCGTGTGTTTGTGTGGTGCGTGCGTGGGTCTGCCGCATTAAATTTGGATTTAGCTCCGATTTTGCTCCGACTTGGACTCGGATCTGGGAGACAACGATGCGACTGGACATGGCTTGGACTCTGCTGGCCTGCCTGCTGCTGTGCGGCAGCGGCACCAGCGCCTGGCACTCGGAGGAGCTGGAGATCTTCGACCTGGTCGAGGAGGTGAATCGCAACTTCTACGAGTTCATGGGTATCAATCAAACGGCCACTGGCGCCGAGATTAAGCGCGCCTTCCGCACCCTGTCCATCGTCCTGCATCCGGACAAGAATGCCGCCGAGGATGCCAACATCCAGTTCCGCAACCTCGTCTCCATCTACGAGGTCCTCAAGGATCCCTCGCGGCGTGAAAAATACGACCGCGTGCTGAAGGAGGGCATGCCCAACTGGAAGTCGGCCCTCTACTACTACCGCCGGATGCGCAAGATCGGACTCTACGAGGGCGCCTTCATCCTCTTCCTTATCACCACCGTGGGCCAGTACCTGTTCGCCTGGGCCGCCTACCTCGAGAAGAAGTACACCGCGGAGCAGGTGTTCGGCACCAAGCTGAAGAAGCTGCAGAAGAAGAACAAGAACATCGACATGGACGTCATCCTCAGCGAGATCCCGATGCCCTCGCTCCTGAACACACTGCCCATTCAGATCCCTGTGGCCCTGTGGAACCTTCCGCGCACCATCAAGAACGGATTCAGCAAGGCCAACGAGCTCAAGGAACTGGCGCTGGAAAAGCGCAGGCAGTAAGTGGGATGGGTCTAGTGGTTACCCCTGTTTTTGCTGCGCTTTCAAAGCCAATTAACTAGTCGAGTTTCAAGGAAGCCTAGATTTTGTATTAAAGGGATTCTTTATTCATGTTGCATACATATTTTGTATTGTAGTTCGGGGTAAATATGTATGTATACATATATTAGTCCACGTAGCTTTAATATTTATATATAGTCACTGGCAATGAGTAGCCGTTTCTGTTTTTTTTTAATTTGCGGTGATTATATTGCCACATAAAAAGAGTGATTTGATCTTTTATTTGATTTTGGAAAAACCAAAAATTGTTATTTATAAATTTATGTTTCCTCGTACATAAAGCCGTACTTTAGAGGAATTTTTAAGGTTTTAACAACCCACAGTTCTTGAAGCTTATATGTTTCTATACTCTCTTTAAGAAAATATTATTCTGAATTCTGGATAAGTACCGCAATATCTTTTAAATTGTAGGTTGTGGAACTCTACAAGTATTTTTTTGGTTAATTGTGCAAACACATAGTATTTATCTTGAATTACACATGTCCGTTTTAAGTTTCATCAGATTTGGGGGACTTACATGCCACCACTCTTATCTTTCTGCATTGCGGTCACTCAGTTTGCTTTTTTTACGTAAAGCAACCACATTTTGTAGAACGTGCAAGCAATCTTTGTGATTTCAGTGTACTTTTTGTATACACAAAACGATGGTAGATGTAGCATTTTAATAAATAAGTAAATACACCTCATTTATGTACATATCTCAATCCAAAATTCACAACACCTGATCAAATATTTCTCCGAACGATAACAGAAATTCAATTGAGGAAGAAAAGAAAAAAGGGAAGTCATCATGCAAACACAATTTTTGCCTTTAACCGAAGACACAAATGCATGCAATTTATTATGACTTGCATCATATGATCAAAATTGACCAAATTATACATAGGTTCTGAAGAAGGAATATTGTCAATCCTTGTGTCGCAAAATAATCAAATCAACCCAAGCACTTTGTATTTTGATATGGCGCCAGATAAGGTACCCAAAATTGATTAGCATTAAGTTGCTAAAAAGTTAAATCGTGTGACAAATTTCACTATTACCTATACTGAAACAACCTTCTAATTGATTCTTCTTTTTTCCAAACGCAGGGAGCTGGAGGCCGCCCGTCGCCAGGAGGAACTAGAGCGGGAGGCTGAGGAGCAGGCCCGTTTGCGTAAGGAGCACAAGGAGAATTTGCGCAAGCGCAAGCAGAACAGCAAGGCTCCGGAGAAGACCGAGGAGGAGCTGCGCGGCTACTCGCAGATCCAGGCGCGTGAAATGACCGACGACGATGCAGTTCGTCCTGCTTCCCAGAAAGTATGAATCTCCCAACTTATGTATCTAATATGTTAACCCATCTGATCGAATGCCTGATCTTCTAGAGCACTGTGAGCGGCGGCTTCTGGACCGACGAGGATCTCACCGAGCTAATTCGCCTGGTGAAGAAGTACCCAGGCGGAGCTGGCAGTCGCTGGAACACCATCGCCGAGTCGATGAATCGCAGTGTCCAGGAGGTGACCTTCATGGCGGCCAAGATGAAGGAGAATGGCTACCGCATTCCCGGCCAAACGGACAGTGTTGCCGAGAATCTCGTCCAGGAGTCCCAGCAGGCGCAGCGCAAGGAGAAGGTGAAGAAGGCGACGGCTGCGCCTGCCTCTGCAGCGGCTCCCGCGGAGAAGAGCATGCTCATTCCGGAGACCAATTGGACGCAGGAGCAGCAGCGCGCCCTGGAGGCGGCGATAGTCAAATACCGGAAGACAGCCGGCGGCGATCGTTGGCAAAAAATCGCCAACAGTGTGCCTGAGAAGACCAAGGAGGAGTGCCTGGTGCGCTACAAGTATCTCTGCGAGCTGGTCAAAACGCAGAAGCGGGCCGAGGAGGAGGCCAACGAGCCGGACGAGGATGCGGCCGCCATTGAGGAGGAGCTGCCCGAGGAGGAGCCGCCTGCGCCGCCAGAGCCGGAACCGGAAGCACCAGTCGGCAAAAAGCTGAGCAAGCGGGAGCAGCGGCGCCGCAAACGAGATCTGTCCAGCGGTGAGGACTCGGACGATCCATATCAGTACGAAATCAGTTAGTCGTCTATACGACTCCCTCGTCCTGCTGCTTCGTCAGCTCCTCGCGTGGCTCAAACCTAGATGTAATTGAATTTTTTTATACTTTGCATTAAAGACTCTCTGGCATGGCATTTGGACCATCCTGATCCTACTCCGCGGCCCGATCATGTGCCCCCTTTCCCTTCCCATCCTCGTGTGTAGCGCCTATCTTATGTTTTGTACATAATTCTATCTTGTAATCATCTAAATGTCGATTAATTCCTTTGCTAAGTAAACGAAATGTGGAAGAAAGTGGACACCGACTGACTTTTCTATGGCTTTTTAGCAGTGATGTTATGTTCTTTGGAGATATATTGGGGATTTCGGAATTGCCAGACTTTCGGAAAGTTGTACGGAAAAATCATAATTACAAAAAAAAGTAAAAGAGAAAGAGAAAAGGAGAAAGGAATCTGAAAAAATAAAATAAAAGAGAAAAATTATGAACAGGGATAAGTGAACATTTCAAATATTGTTCCTAAATAACAAAAACATATTGTTTGTATCCCATTTTTTGACTAATACTATTTTGACTACAAATAAGATGTTCATACATATATTTTCCATACTGACCATACGGCCAGTCTATTTGCTCAGTGTAAGAGCTAGTAACAGAATTTTCTAAATTGTATTTAATGTGTTATCTAATTATGTTTGAAAATCTTACCAATTGGAATACATCCTTTAGCTGCCACAGGAATGTTTGTGTAATTTGCTTGTTTTTGAAGAATACGCAAAATATAGCGCTGTTTTGTTTGCCTACAATTTTATTAATTGTAATTTTTTTGATTTTCGCGAAAATTGGTGTAAAATGAAATTTTTTCAGATGTGAGGGCCAATTGATTGGAAATTAATACCGAATTCAACGAGGTATGACATTCCAAATTTGACCATTATTTTCCAGGGTTTTAAACAAAAAACCAAAATGACTACAAGGGTATAGAACATTTTTAAAGTGAAATCAGATAAATATGTTTTCAATGCAAATTAAATAAACCCAGTGGCCTTTGAAATATCTGTTCAGCATTTGAGTTATAAGCACTTGAAGTACAAGTAAGTAAAACAAATAAAATATCACATAATCGTTATAAAAAGTAATACATTTATTTTTGTATAGCCCAAATATATTCACTTTTCTTGCAGAATGGATCACTACGATAAGATGTATGTCCTGTCCTCCCGACCCACTCTCGACGAGGAGCGAATCGTGGATGTGATTGATTTTGAAGGCCCCTTCGTTGAGGAGACCTCGGAACTTCGGCTGAAGACTGTAAAAGTACGACCGCCCCCTGGCCATGAGTATGATTAGCAAGGAGGATTGTTAGTCCTGGATAACTTAAAAAAAAGGTTCTCTCATTTTTAAGAGTGCAAAGTCTTTTAATCATTAAGTCCCTTTAAAAAACAGGCAAAGCGAATATGGAAACTCATTTACAGCTGTATTAAAAAATATCCACTACTCCGTCATTCAAATCCATGCAGCATTTTTACATCCGAAAAGCTTTTACAATTAATAACATTATTTTATTTTATTTTTTGTAATTAAATTTGTAAAAAGCATTTATTATATGTCACTTGTTTCTGTGGTCTTATATTTATTTAATAATCCTAGCTTAATAGCTTTAATAAAAAATGTTGTAATTGTTGTAATGACATTATATAAAAATAGTTCTCACTACCAACTTTTTTTACATATGTTATTTTAGCAGTGGAAAGTACATATTTTGTTAATGCTTATTGATTGATTGTTATAAGAATATTTTAATGTATTGCTGCATTTAGTAAAGGTTGCTAGCATAACAGGGGCTAATATTTATTTTAAAGCAATGCGAAAAACAAATATATATTTATTATTAATGAATATTCCGCCACCATAAGTATTTTTTGATCTGCAAACTATTATTACCTTTCTAATCCTTCGCTCACGGACATATCTTAAAAGTTAATTGCAGCTTTAAGACACCAAAATGTAGCGCCAAGCAATTATAATTCTCAGTTGGCTTGAACCTGTCACTCATCAAAGATAACTTTTCTTAGAGGGGGCACAGTGGTTAAGGCCTCAGATTTATTATTTATAAAAGTTAAGTTAAGCACTTTCAGCGGCTGCCGTTTTTAGACGCCCGAAATTGTGGCGATGGCAAATGTTTAATCAAAGATACAAATCCATTATTTATATGGCTGGCAGGCGAGTAATCCGCAGTCGACTGACTACGGATACCTTGGAACGATTGGCTTTTAATTACGCCCAGCTTACATTTGATAATTATTGGACTATGACTGTGACTCTGAACGCCGGCAAGTTGGTCCGGTCGAGTTAGTACAAAACTGGATGCGACTCCTCCTCCCAATTTGGTCACCATTCGTGTTTGCATTGAACTTAAAACGCTCGTGCACTAGAAACATCAGACGACTTGGTCGACTGACTGTCGACTTCGTCAAAACCCAAGCCGCAAGACTCAATAATCGAGACTCAATACTCGAAACTCTAGTCTCAAAACTCTAGTCTCAACTGTAGGCGCAGCAGAACCTGGCAAATTGTCAACGAAAAGCTCGGGCCACTTCGCACTTGAAAAACGTTTCGAATATAATTGCAAACAAAATACTCTTCTTATTGACACCGAAATGGGTCCTCAAATATCACTCAAAAATAGGTACTGTTCATCATTACTTGGTCAAAAAAACAATTATATAACGAGTTGGGAAAATAAAATGAAAATAAATATAAAAATTTGCTGATGACAAGAATAAGTATATGTTGCTTCCATTCCTTACGAATTTTCTGTGAATATTTTTTAGTTGGTCGTATTGTAAAAGTACGAATAATTTAATTAAATCGCTCATTCTTAGGCCTATCTTTATAACCTGATTTTAATGTTTCTTAAATTAAGAACTAACCTTTTTCTTTCACATGACAGTTTCTTAAGTTATGCTGTATAGCAACACACTTGAAACTTAGCAGTATACAAACAATCAATGCTCATTTAATATACATATTTAAATATGTCGTAATAAAGAGTTTAAAATTAAACGACTTATTAAAACAGTAAAGCTTCAATTTTCTGACTTTATAGTTTTAGACAGAATAACATCTTATATAAAATATATAGTTTTAGAAAGAGTGTTTTAAAATCATGTTCATGCATAATGATCAAAGGTTTTTAAAAAGTATTAATACAATTTTAAACAATTTCCTAATGGCTCTAAGGGGCTATTTTTCGAGTTAACCTTTTATTAGCCCTTCTGTTCTAACATTAATGGGAATTCGTTTGGGCCCAGTTAGTTCTAAATTGCGATTGCTTTGATAGGCGATATAAAAAATTGGTTTTTATGGCATAACCAGACGGACAGGTCTCCTCGTTGCAATTTAAACCAACTAATACGCTCGCCCAAGAGCAGAGAGAAAAAAAACAAAAGTGAAAAATCATTTCGAGCGGTCAGCGGTTTGTCAGCGATTCAAGGGCGGCTTAAGTCGCAGCAACTCTTTTTTTCTGTTTTTATAATATTATGGCCATCTGACACATTGGGCACTTCATTTCCATTGGATTTCCATTTGGCGGGAGGCTGCCATTTCGCCGCCAAAACACTGACTCAATTGTCCTTCAACTCAAAGTTCAAGCGGCAAGTTCATATGACGTCACGGTCGCAGGTGGGTTAACATCATTTTGATGGCGATTCTCATTCTGATTCGGAGTCTTCTGCGATCGAGGGAAAACCCGAAGAGACCACAGACCAGAGCCGAGAACTGAGTACTCAGAACTGAGAACTGAGACCTGAGAACCCAGAACCCAGAACGAGAACCAGTTTTTTTGGCCATAAGCGGCTGTTACCGCCCCGCGCGTTTTGTGCGCGTTTCTCGGTTAGCCGACTTTGGCGACTTGGCCACTTGGCGACTATATCGATGATATCGCGGATCGTGATCGCGAGTCGGACTCAGTCGCAAACGGAGCGCCAGACGAGGCGGTTCACTGAAAACCACTTAGCATCTGAGGCCCAATTAACTTGTTAGATCAAGCGCGAACCTAGAAACAACATCTCTTTTTTTTGTTACCACCCTTTTTTTTTTTGTTCCTGTTGTTTGAGTTCGCGAGTTTTTCACTTTGGAGAAATGACAATCTATGGCCTGTTGGTGCAGATCATAATCGTTTGTAATTAGCTGCCTGAAGAGTCCCAGATCCGAGGAGCCGAACAGCAGCGAAATGGCACCGCCCCAAGAGCAACCAGAGGATGACATTATCACCAAGGTGAGGATGGATGTACATTGTACATACATATATGGAGTATGAAGGAAGGAAATTTGGTGAAACACACCACAGTTTGTATCACATTCAATTGTAGGGGATGGAATTAAATCCCCCCCCATTGTGTGAGGGTAACGATAGTAATAATAACCAATAACTAATATTTGAAATGGATTCACGAAACCATGCAATTAGTAAGAAAGATTAAGATAAGTTCCTAAGCTATTTTCAGATTTTTCTCCTTAAATAAATGTGTATACCATTCATTTTCTTAGAGTATCTGAATGTTTAGTTAAACTCAATTTCTTCACTGCAAGGAGAATATATTCGAGTTCTTAGAATTCAAGTGATAAATGAGACTGTTTACAAAATTAATAATGCTATGTAAACCAAACTGTCTAGGGTGTAATCTTAAACTCCGAGGGGTGTGAGTGGTAGGAATATCATAAGGTACTTGTTTTCAGGGAACTTAATTTCAAGTAATGAGTTTGGTATTTAAAATTAATAGAAACAAATCGTATGGAATTAAAAAAATCCTATTTTTGGTAAATTATGAAATGTAGATATCCTACTTTATTTTAAATTATTTTAAGCTTTATAACTATTTATAAAAATGATACTCACCGAATGCTTTCATACAGTATATGGAAGATAAAATAAAAAATTAAACCACAATATCCAGGGTACTTTCTAGTCAATCGCCACTTGGGTCGTGTTTATAGTTATAATTTAGCGGAAATTCGCTAATAGCCACAGAGCAGAGCATCTGAAAAGATGAAGTTAGCATTGATCTGTGCGATCGCTAATTCGCCGAGAGGCTACTTCCAAAACTGAGCTTGTGGGGCACGGTCAAGGCTTAATGTTTGATTAAAAAAAACAGAGAATATATGGTAAAGAAATCAATTATGCTGGCACGGAAGTAGAATGTGCTACAAACCAGTGGGCAAAGGGCTTTGAACGCGTTTTTGTTTCATTTTTTGTTTTACTCTGGTTACAACATCGCCAGACGTTTGCTAATTGATCAGACCTCTATAATTATAAATCCAAATACGAGTGAATATATATCAGCTGGTGTGAGTGAACTGCATTTTGTGAATCAAAGGTTAGTCAAGGTGAGTTCACCTCTCACTCCCTGAATCGAACCTTGAATTGAACTTTTGAACTACATTTTAGCTTTGGAAAGGTTGAACACCTTGTTTTTAAGATAACCAAAATTTGTTCCAAATCATAACGTATTGGGGCAGAATATCAAATTAGTTGGATAATATTTTTGAGCCTTACTTTTGCCTCTAATTCAATTTAATCAATTTGATTATTTTACCGAATATTTGTTAATAAAAAAAGTGTGCTTCTTATTTGCTTTTCTTGGCACCATCCGTTAATCTAAATTAGCCTTTTTTTATTTAGACAATTAGCTTAATTAGCGTTCAGCAAATGAAGGTTGACTCGATCTGTCCATAAAAGCCCACCAGAAAAATAATAATTATAAACAATTTAAAGGCCCAACATCATGTGCATATTTTTAGCGGCTTTATTTCTTGGCTTTAATTAGGGTTTGCTGATCTCTGATTGTGTCAGCGATCTAATAAAGTATACCGTCTATCCAAGATCTTTCACTTTCCTTCTGCCAAATTGGCCCACCAATTCTGGCCAAAAAACACCTGGCTCGATGTTGCAATTCGGTGGACACTGAAAGAATACGATTTAGGATAACTATGTATTCGAAATAGGGGACCTTATTCATTTTATTTAAATGTACTCAAATAAATATACAAATTTTTCATATGGTTTATTCGGCAGGCTATTTAAAGGGCTATTGTTATCTAATGAAGCATTACACTAAAAAGTATGAAAATCAGCCAAATTGGAAAGCAAATAAATACTCCTTTTACATATTCTTGCCTACAAAGAGTATAAAAATCAGTTAATTTAGAAACAAAATGGTTTTACAAAGTTTAAAAAATCTTGTTTTTTGGTTTCTGACTAATTATAGTTTATAAAATATAATAAATTTGTCACGGTGCATTTACCTAAACGGTCCGAGCAGGCCCACGAAATTAATGCTGGCCATATGCAGAAGGGGACATTGAAATATGGGCCTGTGGCAACCGCCTCCTGCCATTTATCGTTAATAATAAACAATTGTTTTTTGCGGCCAAGAGATACAGATATACGGAGCGTGCTTTATGGCGACTGTTGTCCAGTTCAGTGTATCTGCGGCAAAGGAATATGATGGCAGTCGATTTCTAGCCAGCTCTTTACCTCGACTTCGAGCACGAGTATCTCACCGTATCTCTGCCTTTTGCGCTCCAGTATCTTAATTATTACTGCGCTCAGCGTTGCGGAACGGCGAATTGGAGGGGTAAAAACGGCAAGTCAGAGCCTCAGAATCAGAAACAGAGGCAATATGGTTAATTTTAAAGTTTATAAATAAATACATGTTTTCTTTATACAAATAAAGGTGATAGATCTGTCAGTGAAACAGGTAAACTAACAAAAGTATCTAACAGATAAAACTTCCGCATACTTCTGGTTGAATTTTTAATTCGGACAACAATGAACATGCCCACTCATCGGACCAAAATAAATTAATAAGTATTGAAGTTACAAGAGGAAGCCAAACGAGAAGCTCTTAACGCTCAATTTGGCTCGGATTCAACGATCCACCGATCGTGACGTGTTCGCCAGCAGCCAAAAACAAGTGGTTGTTGTTCGTTGTCGGCGGTTGTTGTTTGTTGTTTGTGGTTGTCTTTGTCGGTTGTTCCGAATGCCATTGGAGGTCAAGTTCAGGGAACACCAGTTTATGCTTATTTTTGCCATCCTCTGCTTTGACGCAGTTTCACGATTGCGATTGCAGGTGGAGGTGCCAAAGAATTGCTTGCTCAAGCATTTAGCCACTTCAACAATAGCACCTAATGCGAGTTGTTCGATTTTGATTGGTAGTACGGAAATGTTTGAAATGTTAAATATAATTGGCAGCCTAAATTTCTTTTGAACTCAATTTTAGGAAACTTAAATAAATTCTTCAGAACTGGTTAAGACGTTTCCAATACTAAAACAATTTTATACCTGTTTATTTATAACAAATTTAAGAAGCTTTGAACCATATATCATATTTTCTTTAAAAAAAACAGAATTAGTTAACGATTCTCATGAAGCGTTGGGATAAATAGAAAAGACCATGATTTAGCTTTATGAAGTTCATGGTACTTAATAAATGTTTTTTGCTTGTATATTTAATTATTTATTTAACTAATTGATATGCCAAAAATGTACAGAGGTTGTCACGTATTGAGGAACTTAATCATTGGAATATAATTGTAATTTAATAAATGCTACCGGGATAGTAAGTTCAGTGAACCAGAGGTCATGTCATTTATTTATATAATTTATAATTTAACAAGACAATTAACTTAGATGGTTGCATTTCGACAAGCTAGCTTTTTATTATCATTGGCACTGTGATTTTGCCGACTTGTCGTGATTAAATGATAATGTAGGCAACAAGGCCAAAAGCAGATTGGTCAAAGAAAGGTTAAAGAATTTAGAAAAATAATAACTAAATGTAAATGAATAATTTATAAATGGGTAAATGAGTTCAGAAAACTAAAACTAGTCTAAAACAAGAAAGAAAAGCTAACTTCGGGCGGAGCCGAAGTTGATATACCCTTGCAGAATATTCTGTAAATAATATTCTCCAAAACTATTCATATGATGCATTCTTATTACTCATAAATAATTCCAACTTCCTAACTTTAAAAACACCAAAGTTATGGCATTTCCGATCGTTCAGTTATATGACAGCTATAGGATATATACAGTTATTTTAAAGTTTCTGATAACTTGTTTAACGTTGTCCCAAAATTGGACTTCGAGAGTGCATAACTTTTCCAAACTTAAGCCGATTTCAAAGTGGCATACCTCTAAAGACTCGTGATTCGATTCTCTAAAAATCTGCATTCAAAATTTTCAATTTAACGTTGATCAAATTTTTGACCCATTTTAATGTAGTTATTTCTAATTTTCCGATGTTTTGCAATACAGTGACTCAAAATTGGACTTTGAGTGTCCATAACTTTTCCAAACTTAAGCCGATTCCAAAGTGGCATACCTCTAAAGACTCGTGATTCGATTCTCTAAAAATCTGCATTCAAAATTTTCAATTTAACGTTGATCAAAATTTTGACCCATTTTAATGTAGTTATTTCTAATTTTCCGATGTTTTGCAATACAGTGACTCAAAATTGGACTTCGAGTGTCCATAACTTTTCCAAACTTAAGCCGATTTCAAAGTGGCATACCTCTAAAGACTCGTGATTCGATTCTCTAAAAATCTGCATTCAAAATTTTCAATTTAATGTTGATCAAATTTTTGACCCATTTTAATGTAGTTATTTCTAATTTTCCGATGTTTTGCAATACAGTGACTCAAAATTGGACTTCGAGTGTCCATAACTTTTCCAAACTTAAGCCGATTTCAAAGTGGCATACCTCTAAAGACTCGTGATTCGATTCTCTAAAAATCTGCATTCAAAATTTTCAATTTAACGTTGATCAAATTTTTGACCCATTTTAATGTAGTTATTTCTAATTTTCCGATGTTTTGCAATACAGTGACTCAAAATTGGACTTCGAGTGTCCATAACTTTTCCAAACTTAAGCCGATTCCAAAGTGGCATACCTCTAAAGACTCGTGATTCGATTCTCTAAAAATCTGCATTCAAAATTTTCAATTTAACGTTGATCAAAATTTTGACCCATTTTCATGTTAGTTATTTCTAATTTTCCGATGTTTTGCAATACAGTGACTCAAAATTTGACTTCGAGTGTCCAAAACTTTTCCAAATTTAAGCCGATTCCAAAGTGGCATACCTCTAAAGACTCGTGATTCGATTCTCTAAAAATCTGCATTCAAAATTTTCAATTTAACGTTGATCAAATTTTTGACCCATTTTCATGTTAGTTATTTCTAATTTTCCGATGTTTTGCAATACAGTGACTCAAAATTTGACTTCGAGTGTCCATAACTTTTCCAAATTTAAGCCGATTCCAAAGTGGCATACCTCTAAAGACTCGTGATTCGATTCTCTAAAAATCTGCATTCAAAATTTTCAATTTAACGTTGATCAAATTTTTTACCCATTTTCATGTTAGTTATTTCTAATTTTCCGATGTTTTGCAATACAGTGACCCAAAATTGGACTTCGAGAGTGCAGAACTTTTCCAAACTTAAGCCGATTCCAACGTGGCATACCTCTAAAGACTCGTGATTCGATTCTCTAAAAATCTGCATTCAAAATTTTCAATTTAACGTTGATCAAAATTTTGACCCATTTTCATGTTAGTTATTTCTAATTTTCCGATGTTTTGCAATACAGTGACTCAAAATTTGACTTCGAGTGTCCAAAACTTTTCCAAATTTAAGCCGATTCCAAAGTGGCATACCTCTAAAGACTCGTGATTCGATTCTCTAAAAATCTGCATTCAAAATTTTCAATTTAACGTTGATCAAAATTTTGACCCATTTTCATGTTAGTTATTTCTAATTTTCCGATGTTTTGCAATACAGTGACTCAAAATTTGACTTCGAGTGTCCAAAACTTTTCCAAATTTAAGCCGATTCCAAAGTGGCATACCTCTAAAGACTCGTGATTCGATTCTCTAAAAATCTGCATTCAAAATTTTCAATTTAACGTTGATCAAATTTTTGACCCATTTTCATGTTAGTTATTTCTAATTTTCCGATGTTTTGCAATACAGTGACTCAAAATTGAACTTCGAGTGTCCATAACTTTTCCAAATTTAAGCCGATTCCAAAGTGGCATACCTCTAAAGACTCGTGATTCGATTCTCTAAAAATCTGCATTCAAAATTTTCAATTTAACGTTGATCAAATTTTTGACCCATTTTCATGTTAGTTATTTCTAATTTTCCGATGTTTTGCAATACAGTGACTCAAAATTTGACTTCGAGTGTCCATAACTTTTCCAAATTTAAGCCGATTCCAAAGTGGCATACCTCTAAAGACTCGTGATTCTATTCTCTAAAAATCTGCATTCAAAATTTTCAATTTAACGTTGATCAAAATTTTGACCCATTTTCATGTTAGTTATTTCTAATTTTCCGATGTTTTGCAATACAGTGACTCAAAATTTGACTTCGAGTGTCCAAAACTTTTCCAAATTTAAGCCGATTCCAAAGTGGCATACCTCTAAAGACTCGTGATTCGATTCTCTAAAAATCTGCATTCAAAATTTTCAATTTAACGTTGATCAAAATTTTGACCCATTTTCATGTTAGTTATTTCTAATTTTCCGATGTTTTGCAATACAGTGACTCAAAATTTGACTTCGAGTGTCCATAACTTTTCCAAATTTAAGCCGATTCCAACGTGGCATACCTCTAAAGACTCGTGATTCGATTCTCTAAAAATCTGCATTCAAAATTTTCAATTTAACGTTGATCAAATTTTTTACCCATTTTCATGTTAGTTATTTCTAATTTTCCGATGTTTTGCAATACAGTGACCCAAAATTGGACTTCGAGAGTGCAGAACTTTTCCAAACTTAAGCCGATTCCAAAGTGGCATACCTCTAAAGACTCGTGATTCGATTCTCTAAAAATCTGCATTCAAAATTTTCAATTTAACGTTGATCAAATTTTTGACCCATACAATACAGTGACTCAAAATTTGACTTCGAGTGTCCATAACTTTTCCAAACTTAAGCCGATTCCAACGTGGCATACCTCTAAAGACTCGTGATTCGATTCTCTAAAAATCTGCATTCAAAATTTTCAATTTAACGTTGATCAAATTTTTGACCCATTTTCATGTTAGTTATTTCTAATTTTCCGATGTTTTGCAATACAGTGACTCAAAATTGAACTTCGAGTGTCCATAACTTTTCCAAATTTAAGCCGATTCCAAAGTGGCATACCTCTAAAGACTCGTGATTCGATTCTCTAAAAATCTGCATTCAAAATTTTCAATTTAACGTTGATCAAATTTTTGACCCATTTTAATGTAGTTATTTCTAATTTTCCGATGTTTTGCAATACAGTGACTCAAAATTGGACTTCGAGTGTCCATAACTTTTCCAAACTTAAGCCGATTTCAAAGTGGCATACCTCTAAAGACTCGTGATTCGATTCTCTAAAAATCTGCATTCAAAATTTTCAATTTAACGTTGATCAAATTTTTGACCCATTTTAATGTAGTTATTTCTAATTTTCCGATGTTTTGCAATACAGTGACTCAAAATTGGACTTCGAGTGTCCATAACTTTTCCAAACTTAAGCCGATTTCAAAGTGGCATACCTCTAAAGACTCGTGATTCGATTCTCTAAAAATCTGCATTCAAAATTTTCAATTTAACGTTGATCAAATTTTTGACCCATTTTAATGTAGTTATTTCTAATTTTCCGATGTTTTGCAATACAGTGACTCAAAATTGGACTTCGAGTGTCCATAACTTTTCCAAACTTAAGCCGATTCCAAAGTGGCATACCTCTAAAGACTCGTGATTCTATTCTCTAAAAATCTGCATTCAAAATTTTCAATTTAACGTTGATCAAATTTTTGACCCATTTTCATGTTAGTTATTTCTAATTTTCCTATGTTTTGCAATACAGTGACTCAAAATTGGACTTCGAGAGTGCATAACTTTTCCAAACTTAAGCCGATTCCAACGTGGCATACCTCTAAAGACTCGTGATTCGATTCTCTAAAAATCTGCATTCAAAATTTTCAATTTAACGTTGATCAAATTTTTGACCCATTTTCATGTTAGTTATTTCCAATTTACGGATGTCTTGTAAAAGAGTGACTTAAAAGTGGACTTCGACAGTCCATAAATTACCAAATTTAAGCCGATAATGCAGCGCAAAATCGACATAGCTTCATTGGTTTTAGTAATATAGGCATACAAAGTAAAATGTTGTCGTTTTGTAATAACTGCAAGAGTATATAAACTTCGGCTTGCCGAAGTTTTGCTTCCTTTCTTGTTTTATATTATATCGAAAATGTTCCTCCGATTATATATATTTATATTAAAATGCCTATGCTGTACAGTACATAATTTTAAATTATTGCCAAGACCCCTCCACCTTTTTTCTCTGCTTAATATTTCGTGAACAATTTTCATTAGATGGGGCATTGTGTTTGCTCTTTTTGTCGCTTGTTTGTAATGTAAAAAAGGTGATATATATATTTTTTGGAGCTTGAAGGTCATGAGTGGGCGATATAAATTTATTTGATTTATGGTAATTAGCCGTGTGTACCTTGTCTAATTGCAGATACCCTCGATAATTGGATTCCTGAACTTGGACTGACTGCCGGCGAATGAAGCTTTGGCCACCCAATTCGATGATCTGACCTAGAGAGCCAAGGCTGAAGCGCTGAATCATGAGAATTATAGCTAGAAATCTTTGTCATAGTTTTACGATTAAGAAATGGAGCAAGACAAGCACAAATAAACGAGCAATATAAATTATGTTTATTTTTTAACTGCCTAAAAGACGGCAATTGACTTTGAAACCAACTTCTTTATAAATGAAAATATAAACAAAAATGGTAAGAAATTTATATATTTGCGTATCGTACCTAACGTACCTTCTTAGGATTGGCATTTCCCATCAATTTTACTTACTTCAACATATTATTCAACAAAAATTATAGACAACTTATTAATTTAAAAATATATATTGTTCTGATTTTTCGTTGATAATTTGACTGGAGTATTTTATTCAAATTTATTTTTACGCTTTTTGATGGCTCATTTTTTAAAAAATAGCAATTTTTCATTGACAAATTTTTAACATATATTGCGTAATAAAAAACTCCGACAAATTTCGATATATTTTGATTTATTTGTTTACATAAAAAAACATATTTCAAGATGAGGTTTTTATTTCATTTGAAATAAAATATTTATTTTATTAAGAATTATAAAATTATAAAATATATATAATCACACATAGTCAAAGCAAATCGGTTGTTTGTAGCCAGATAATCGTGGTGACAACACTGTTTCGAGCGGATGACAGGTGACAGGATCCGGATTCGGCTGGGAAGGAGCTACTGAGTCTCAGAAAGAAATGGGGAAAAAAGCAAAGTAGGTAATAATGACGGCACGCACAAAAAAATATGTAAAGCCGAGCGACGATCTGATCTGTGAACTGGCTACCATCCTAGGCTGGCAATCGAAAAGCAGTAAGCATAGCAGTAATCCATCGGAGATCGAAGAGAGTAGTCCGAGGGGCAAAAGCAGGACGAGAACGAGGACAAGGAGCGGGACAAGGACGAAGGACGCAACGCGTGAGAGTTGGAAGCTGTCCTCGAGGAACTCTTCCCGGAGGCAGAAGAAATGTATTCGGCGGTGAAGCCGCTGTCCAAGTATCTGCAATTCAAGTCAATCCGCATCTACGACGCCGTCTTCACCGTCCACTCCAAGTGCACGGTGGTGATCCTACTCACCTGCTCCCTGCTCCTGTCCGCCCGCCAGTACTTCGGCGATCCGATTCAGTGCATCAGCGAGGAGAAGAACATCGAGTACATTCAGTCCTACTGCTGGACCATGGGCACCTACATCCTCAAGCTGGACGACAATGGGGAGCAGCTCCAGCCGCCGGTTCATCCGGATCAGGAGTTGGCCTCTGACTCCTCTGACTCAGTCTCGGCCGCCTCCTCCTCCGACGCCGCCTCCTCCGCCTCCGCCTCCGCCGCCTCCTCCTCCGCCTCCTCCGCCCAGTCATCCGCGAGATCCCGCACCAGATACCGATCCCGGTCGAGCCTCCGCCGACTGGGGGAGTACAACGAGGCCTATGCGAGGGCCATGTCGATAGCCGAGGGCGTGGGACCCGAGGTGCGGGGCCAGTCGGAGCGGGAGTACCTGCGCTACTACCAGTGGGTCATCATCCTGCTGCTCTTCCAGTCGTTCATCTTCTACTTCCCCTCGTGCCTGTGGAAGGTGTGGGAGGGCCAGCGGCTAAAGCAGCTCTGCTCGGAGGTCGGTGAGGCGCTGCTCTCGGAGGAGACCTACAACACCCGGCTCCGGCTGCTGGTCAAGTACTTCACCACCGACTACGAGGACATGCACTTCTGCTACATGGCCAAGTACGTCTTCTGCGAGGTCCTCAATTTCCTCATCAGTGTGAGTAGGGTTCCAGATTCACCGCGCCACTTTCACTGGCCCTTTAATTTGATAGGACATTATTGTGGTACACCATCACTAAATATTTATTAAAGAAAACCCAGGTAGATTATAAAGAGATATCGGAGAAAACAACCATACAAACAGTAGCTTAAGAAGGATATCCATTCAGATCCCTGAAAATTGCATTTTGCTTGATATTTGAGTCAAATGCTTGTAAAGCGGTGAAGGGCAAATTTCCGACCCCATAAATATATATATATATATATTCTCGATCAGCATCACCGTGCAAGTCGATCTAGCCATGTCCGTCTGTCCGTTGTCCGTTTCTGGTCGGAACGGGCCAAATCGGACTACTATATCACAAAGTTCGCATAGGAACAATCGGGAAAACACAGAAATAAAAAAAAAAAATAAATAAAATAAATAAATAAACAAAAGTGTCAAAAAACCAGCACTTTTGAGCACATAACTTTTCTTATAGACATCCGATTTGAAAATGACATACTTCTAAATTATTGTGGTACATTCTCTAAAAATCTTCCAAATTTTCAAAATTTTCAAAAAATTACAGAAAAATATTCACAACAAAAAATGTTAATTGGTGGCTGTACCAAGTTAATTGCCCAAGATAATTGCTCAAGATTATTAATTCAAAAAGATTCATCAAATAAATTCAATTTAAGGGGGCCCAGATGTAGCTTGAAAATTCACTCAAAAATGGTGAATGGGTATCTTCCTTATTTAATACTTTAAAATAAGAACCACCAGGATAACACTTATTCATAATAAAACACATTCATAATGAAATATATAACAAGAAAGGCAAGCTAACTTCGGGCGGAGCCGAAGTTGATATACCCTTGCAGAATACTCTGTAGATTATATTCTCCAAAATTATTCATATGATGCATACTTAATACTCATAAAAAATCCCAACATCCTAACTTTAAAAACACCAAAGTTATAGCATTTCCAATCGTTCAGTTATATGGCAGCTATAGGATATAGTCGGCCGATCCTTATGAAATTTGGTAGGTCGGATTGATTGGCCAAAAATAAAACCCATAGAAAATCCCAACTTCCTAACTTTTCAAACACCAAAGTTATGGCATTTCCGATCAATCAGTTATATGGCAGCTATAGGATATAGTCTATACTGCGTGCAAAGGAAAGAAGGCTGTGTGCAAAGTTTCAACTCGATAGCTTTAAAACTGAGAGACTAGTTTGCGTAGAAACAGACAGACGGACAGACGGACATGGCTATATCAACTCAGGAGGTGATCCTGATCAAGAATATATATACTTTATAGGGTCGGAGATGTCTCCTTCACTGCGTTGCACACTTTTGACCAAAATTATAATACCCTCTGCAAGGGTATAAAAAGATAAAAACAATCGATCATTGAATTGAAACTAAAGTAAATGAAAGTATTAAGGAAGTTTCATTATTAATTCATTATATAAGATTTTTGAAGAGAAACCCATTTAATCAGCTAATGTCATCGATGGCCAATCCACAGGTGGTGAACATAATCGTCCTGGAGGTGTTCCTGAACGGATTCTGGTCGAAGTACCTGCACGCACTGGCCACCATTCCGTTCTACGACTGGGATCGGTGGAACCGCGTGTCCTCGAGCGTCTTCCCCAAGATCGCCAAGTGCGAGGTGCTGAAGTTCGGAGCCAGTGGAACGGCGAACATCATGGACAACCTGTGCATCCTGCCGCTGAACATCCTGAACGAGAAGATCTTCGTGTTCCTGTGGGCCTGGTTCCTGCTGATGGCCCTCATGTCCGGCCTGAATCTCCTTTGCCGGCTGGCGATGATCTGCAGCAGGAATCTGCGGGAGCAGATGATCCGCAGCCAGCTGCGCTTCATGACCAAGCGGCATGTGCAGCGGGCACTGCGCGACCTCACCATCGGCGACTGGTTCCTCCTGATGAAGGTCAGCGTCAATGTCAACCCCATGCTCTTCCGGGATCTCATGCAGGAGCTCTGCGAGCTGCGCACCTCCTCCACCTCGGTCAGCATCGTGGAGAGCGCGGTATAGGATTAGGATCAGGATGAGGATCAGGATCAGGATGATGATCAGGATCAGGATAAGGATAAGGATCAGGACCAGGACCAGGAACAGGAACAGAACCAGGAGCAGGATCAGCGGAGCAGAGATCGCCTCGTCCTCCGGCTGCCCAAGTGGATGACCCCCTCCCAATTGACGTTGCCGTCGTTCGTTGATTCGTGTGTTTTTGCTTACGTACATGTGGATATTATACATATATATTTCCCTCCATCCCTTTAAAAGCATTGTATTTATGCGCCGATGAAACTGCATTTTGCTCAGCTAAGGTATACTGAACATGGGTTTTAGATTTCCCATCAGCTTAAATTTAGAAGTTTGTTTTTAATAAGTTCGACCCAAAATTAGCGTACAAAAATGACTTTTATTTTTGATATTTTTTTCGTATAAACGAGTGCAAATAACAAGTGAATTTAGAGAAAACCACTTATTCTAAGGCCGATAATTTGACTTCAGCAGGTTTGATTATAAAGGTGACCCATAACTGCACTTCTCAAGCTATCTATCGGCTGCCGATTTGTTATTGAGATACATTTAAAATCTTATGGTCTTGTTCTCCATAATTCTCCATCAAACTAATCCTTTAATTTTCATTGTTCCCCATGGTAATGTTTCCAATAGCCTAAAGAAATGGTGACCCAAAAACGTCACTTCTATAACCCATAACTTGACATATCAGCTTTCGATTTCAAAGTTGCATAACTTTTAAATGTGTGCTTTATTCTTTAATAATATTTTTGCTCTTTACTGAGTGATTTTTTTGTCAATTTCAATTAAATTAATTACTTAGGTGCATTATTCCTTCCACATGGAAAGTTAAAAGTAGGATTTTAACTGCAAAATTCCATATGTTTTCTCAGTTCATAACCTACTTTTAATCTTTCTTTTTTAAATGTGCACTAAGCCTTGTTTATCCGATTACAAGGCTTTTGTTTATGATTTTCTGTCGTTGTTAAGCTGTTTCCAAAGACGACACACGAAATGAGTTGAGTTGCTGCTTCTACTTTTGTTGTCTTTGCTGCTGGCATTTAATGTGCATTGTTTATAACTAGTTGCTGCCATAATTTCGTCATTTATATTTTGCTGGGACGATCTCCATCCCCCCACATCCCCCCCGAAACCCCAGTTGCCCTCGATCGTTGGGCTTTCAGCATTGTTTTGCGCACATTAACAACGCAACTCGCTCGCGTTTTGGCCGCCTTCGCCACGCAAGTTGCTCACTCGCTCACTAACTCACTAACTACACTCACACTCGCACTCATACTCACACTCACTTGGGTGAATGAATGTAAATATTATTCAAAAGCCATTCGTGTGGCGTTTAATATGCCCAGCACTCCACGCGGGGCATATCAGTTTGGACACCCCACTCCCAATGACTCACTAGCGAAGACTGATAAATAAATTTCCCCAGAACGATTAATAAATTTATGAACTCATGAGCTAACAAAGCCATGGTATTACTAAATATGACGTTTTACAATTAACTTGATGGGCTGCAAATTTTCATATCATTTTTATAAGATTTTCTATCAGCCTTAAACAATGTGTGTCTGCAATTGACATTTTGCGTTTTTCTTCGATAAGAAACGACTCCGCTGTGTGATAAGATAATTATCAGAAATATTAAATTTAATTAGCACAAATAAAGAAAGCAATAACATTTTAAAATCTTTAAATGACTGCGTTTACAGTGCTATATTCTATCAATAAACAAGAGAGAACGCTATAGTCGGGTGCCCCGACTATCAGATACCCGTTACTCAGGTAAAGGGAGTGCGAGGGAGATGCAGATAGAAACTTTGATCACGCATAACTTTTTAACGAATGGTCCGATTTGAAAAATTTCTTCTACATTTCGATAGGTATTGATAAACACAATAAAACTGCATTTTTACTTTTCCGAAATATTTAAATGTATCGTATATAAGCGATTGTGGGCGTTAAAGGGGGCGTGGCACCTTTTTGAAACAAACTTGCGCTGCTTGTCGGAAACGCTTCCTTCTAGCTGTTACATACTTTTGCACGAATACAATATACCCTTTTACTCTACGAGTAACGGGTATAAAAATTGGAGAATCATTTCTCAATCGTCAGTAAAAGTTTGATTAAACATCTTTTATGTCATTTAATATGCCAAATAGTTAAAAACGAAAATAAGGAAATTACATTTCTAAAGTCATTTATAAATGTGATTAATTTCAAAAGTTTTGCTTAAAAGTCCGAAATATTTTAGAATTTTTATTTAAACATATGGTAATATGAATTTGCTGCTTAAGACAAAATAAAAATGTTTATCAGAAAGTAAATAATGCCATAATAATTCATGGAATATTTTGTACAATTGTTCAATTATAAATAAAAAGTTAAGGTAACACAAATACAAACTCTAATGTTTTTTTCTATATTAAATATGTTTTTTCTCACTTTAAAGTGTGCTTTTAAAACTGTGGCTTTGAAAAAGAGGATGTGGTTTACTGGGGAAGAAGATGAACCGTTATAAAATTGCCACTTGAGGGGTATTACTTCGTCGGAATTACTGCTCCCCGATTCCACCCCCAGATTCTTCTGTTTTTGGGGTCTCTCCCTTTTCGTTTGACGTTTGCGTGGGCCGCTGTCGACGTCAAATGAGACGTCGACTGAGACGCCGACTGAGGCAGAGACAGAGGCAGAGGCAGAGGTGCGGCCGGTGTTTCTTCAGCTTTCGGTTACATCTATTTCCATATCTATCGCACCCGTATTCCTATTCCCATTCGGTATTGTTTTGTGCCGCCGTTGTTTTGCTTTGGTTTTTCGGTTTTTGGTTTTCGGTTTTTGGTTTCTGATTTTTTGTTTATTTCCAGTTGCCGTGTTTCAGTGTTTTGTGTGTTTTGTGTGCCACTTGGCCAGTTAGTCGCTTCGCTTTTTATTTTAGCATTTTAGTATTTTAGTCGCCTGTCAACCGCCGTCCCTTTCGCTCCACTTTGGTCCGCTTCTCGGTTGCGTTAATTTGTTGTTGATTTTGATGTGATGTGCACTTAATTAAAGCGCGTACGTGACGATTGCTGCTGCAATTTCAATTGCTGTTGCACTGTTGCTGTTGCCATTGCGACTTCTGGCACTGTTGCTGTTGCTGTTGCATCTTCGGCGGCAATATCAATGGTGTGGCCTGGTATCAGCGGCAATTGCAATTGCAGTTGCAGTTAGCCAGTGAGTAATGCACTCGTAATTGGGTCTGCAGAGATACAAAATTAAGCGCAAACATTGATCCACCAACACACAGTGGCGTCCAAAACATTAGGTGTCTAGCCAAGTTTTCGGAAAATATTTCAAAATTATTTCAGTGCAAATAATAACTCTGAATCCCAGACAATTGCAAAATTGCTAAAATATAAAAGGCTAAATTACTTATAATGGATAATTAAGTAAACAAATATTTCATAAATTTTTATATAATGTTAAGGTACAGATATCAGCAGGAAACCCTAACAATCTAACAAAGTTTAACAAATCAATAAATAAATAAATCGAAAAAAGTTTATAATAAGACACGCATTTTCAAAAGTTTCGCGGCGAGTTACTTGTTTAGAAATTGCAACCAATTTGTTTTGTTTTTATCACATTGTTGTGATTTTTGCAGATTAGAAATACTTATCGTGTAACTGTGAAAATAAAATGGATCATACAGATATGCATGTTGAATTTATCCGTTAGCTAAATGTGGCGACTTAATTTATTTTTTGAAGTTGTATCGACAATATTCTAATTGCTTTGTAATCAGTGCTTCGCAACCGAAAAACTGAGCAATTGCAGTATCACTTTTCGAGGGCCCTCAACTATTATTTTGACTGCAGCTGTGCGTGTGTATGGCACACACACCTCACACTCACACACAGTCAAATGCGTGATAAGATTGCAACGAAAACAAGTAAAGCAATAAAAGCAACAACACAACGGTGGGCATTGATAAACACCCCGCGACAAGTGTGTAAAGTAAAACATTTAAGAGCACAGTGGAATTGCATCATCTTCGCAGAGCTTATTTATTTTACAACTGGCTATTTTTGGTGAAAGTCGTGATTGATAAGCCCATAGTCTCCCATTTATTTTTTTCGCTTTTTTTGTTTTGTCCAATTTGTGTCACTATTGTTCTCCATCTGGCATCTGGTTTCGGGTTTTCAATATATTCACATACATGGCGCACATTGTTGTTGTTCGATTTGCATGCGAACTGGGCGAAGAAAGCTTTTGACGGCGAAGAAGGGGTAAATAAATATAAAAGTCACTTCTCTACGGGAGAACACGCATAATGAGGCTACAGTGGTCGCTTGAAAAATCAATATTACACAGTCAAAACACATGTTTAATAAGTCTATAAATCAAATTTGCTGTAAGCAATAAATATAGCTTACCTTAAACAGGTTCTGAACCAAGTAGACCCAAGATAGAGGAATTCAATATATGTATAATGAGGAATGTATGAATAATAGACTCTATGGGGCATCTAATTATATAAACCAGTTGGGAACAATTTTATTTAAAAATTCGCATTGAAATTTTGGAACGTTTCAACATTTTTTTAAAGTCAGTGCTGAACAGATTTTCAGCATTACTGTTTTGTGGATTACTGTTTTTAATAAGATGTAGAGGTTGAATAAGCACTATGAAAAAAATGAATATGTAACTCATAAGGTGTTTTATTTTTCTTAAAGAAAATTAATTATTTTTATTGTAAAAGTCTCCTGAAAGATAAATATGTTTTCTTTAAGCTCTAAAAAGAATAAGATTGGTGCTAAAAAATGGTTGTTTAAGTAAATCAAAAGTTCTTTTTATTAATTTTGGTATATTTTTGTAAAAAAAAAAGCTATGGCTTTTAGGGGGTATGTTTTTCTGCACTTCAGCTTTAATCCACTAGGGTTGGTCTCCACTGTATCCTGCCTGGCATGGAATTTGCTGGCCTAAGGAGCAATCCCCAACCACTGTGCGCCTAGAAGAGCTCCATAAACAAAACAAACCCCTACAGAAACAAAAAAAAAAACAAAAAAGTCTGCAAAAAGAAGCAACAGCTAAAGCGGCAAGAAAAACGAT